TAACACAACTATCCACCCCTCCTCCCATGCCAAGGTCCTAGGTGTCATCCTTGACTCGGACCTCACCTTTCTTCCCCACATCCAATCACTATCCAAATCCTGCCGCCTTCACCTTCGTAACATCTCCAAAATACGCCCCTTCCTCACCAAAGAAACCGCAAAATTACTCATCCACTCCCTTGTTATCTCTCGTCTTGACTATTGCAACTCCCTTCTCATTGGCCTTCCACTACAGAGGCTATCCCCCCTTCAGTCTATCATGAATGCAGCTACCAGACTCATTCACCTTACCAACTGCTCAGTGTCTGCAACCCCCCTCTCCCAATCCCTGCACTGGCTTCCAATAGCCCAAAGGATAACATTCAAAATATTAAAAATCAGTTACAAAGCCATCCACAACTCCTTCCCCAGCTATATCTCAAACCTGGTCTCAAAGTATCACCCAAACCGTCGGCTCCGCTCATCCCAAGACCTCCTGCTTTCCAGCTCCCTTGTCAACTCCTCCCATGCTCACCTCCAGGACTTCTCTAGATTCTCTCCCATCCTCGGGAATTCTTTACCCCAACCTGTCTGTCTATCGCCCACCTTGACTGCCTTTAGGCATTCCCTAAAGACTCATCTCTTCAGGGAAGCCTATCCCACCTCAACCTAACCGCTCAACCATCACGTTCTCAAACAATTCATCCCCACACAGCTCCCTCCTCATGTTCCCCCTCCCTTTTAGATTGTAAGCCCTCAGGGGCAGGGCCCTCCTTACCATCTTGTCTTGATTTGTATTGTGATTGTAATGTCTTCCCTATATTGTAAAGCGCTGCGCAAACTGTTGGCGCTATAAAAATCCTGGATAATAATAACCATAAATGTACTCTTTTGACCAAAAAGAGGACTAAAGCCAAAAACAAAGCCCAGAGTACAAGTACAAGTACTTGTCAAAATGCCCTCACCCTGCAGCGCCCTCAGGTGGCCACTTGCCTTGCCTTGCGGTAGCGCCGGGCCTGCTTGCAATGCAGACTTGCTGTAATTGTGCAACAAAATTGTGAAGCTTGGCAGGTGTGCAATAGTTTAGTAAGTCATTTTCAAACTTGCAGCTCAATTACTTGCTATCTGGGAGGTTCAGGCCATTGGTCCTCTTTTAATATCATGAAGAATACAAGTTTGATAGGGCTGATCTGTAGGAGATGCAGATGTGAATAGTAGAACTGTCACCTTGTAGCACCATGTGTCAGTACTATCACCTTGCACACTGCAGGTCACATACTTGTGCAGGATAATGCTACAGCCAACGTGCTGAGACTTCGCTCCTTGCTATGGAGCGGTCACGTGACTGGGATCGGCCGAGAGGAGGGGGGCAGAGCAGCAGTAGATCCCCCCCCCCTCCCCAGTATAGCGAACCTGGGAGACAATCCACTGCAAGTCCTGATCCGGTAGAAGTTTCATGACTAACCCGGATCAAAGACAAGCTGCTGCCACAACACAGATCGGGACACAAGAGGCTTCACATCAACAAATAAACTTTGCTTCCAGCCATCATTAGCTCCAGCTCATTGCTGTGCTGCACATTAGAATAAAGTTCTTTCCACATCGGCGAGCGAATGAGTCATTAGCGAAAAGAAAAGTATCTGGATTTCGAGAGATAAAGTGAAAGAAGATCGGGATAGAAAAGTTTGCCATCTGAATGAAGACAGTTCTTGGCAGGGACTGGAGATCGCCTAGGAGGCAGGCAAGTCATGCCAGCAGATCGTAGCGATCTCCTATAACCCAGTGATGAAGAAGGAATTGGAGGTGGGAACCATGCCAGACTGCTCAGTACTGACCCTCTTCCAGGAGATCGCCTCTGACACCCTCCAAGGACCTCTAGCTAACTTTCTGAGCCAGGCACACAAGTGTAGACAGGGAGCCATAGCTCTGGAGGAGGTGAGTGTACTATTGTACTTCCCATTCTACTGTGTGCATGACATTCTTATGTTTATTATTATGCTGATTATTATTGTTGTTATGATGAAGATTATTACTAATAATAATCATCATTACAACAATAATAATCATCATAATAACAATAAAAATTTATTATTGTTATTATGATGATGATTATTATTGTTGTTGTGATGATGATGATTATTGTCATTATTATTTTGATGATTATTATTTTTATGATGGTTATTGTTATTATTATTTTGATGATTATTATTGTTATGATGATGATGATACAGAATAACATTGGTGAGAATGTGCTCCTTTGTTGTCCCAGTCCTGATCTTTTCTGCACTGTTTATTTGTTTGCAGTGAGCTCATGATGACATATGTGTGTGGATGTCATTGTCACACCTTGTGGGAAGCAGGGTGTGTTTTGGTTAGAGATGAGGGGAGGAGTGATACATGTAGTGGAGATGTAGAAGGAAAAAAATCCCTCCCCTTATTTACTTTTGTCTTTACTTCTACCACTCTGCTATGTTATTGTGTCCCTATACGTAGTTAGAATTTTGTAAGAACGTTCATGTGAGAAATCGGGTCGATAATGCCATCCCAGACATGAAGAGTGTCGTTGAAAACTGGTTTGATCTTAACATTCAATTTTGGAAAGCAAAGAGTTTCCAAAATGAAAAACACATTCACTGTTAGAATTTTGTTTTTTAACGTTTTCCATCCCACTTCCATCCATGCGTATCCTTCCATCCTATATCCTTCGATTATTTCATTTCAAAATAAAATGAATGTTCCATAAACCTGTCAAATTAGATTTAGGCATCTTGTGTATTTCTTTCTTTAGTGATCCTTATCCTTTATTCTATATACCGCCAGCATCCTTTGGAATTTTCTTCTCCACTCTTTTCAGTTTGCCTAAAAGTGGAGAAGAGAAAGCAGGAGTAAAATGCATTTCCTACCCTTGCAGTGGGACTACTCCGGCACTTCAAGGGGTAAATGTCTAGGGGATTGGAGTACAGCAGATTTACTTACCTAATCCCCGATCCCCTAGTGGTCGGCGCTCACCTCTCTCTCCCACCCTCTGGTAGTGAACTGTCCAAATTGACTTGATTGTTAAGGCTAGCTATCATTTTGCATAGTATTTGTAGCTCTAAGGGTCCACTCACACCATCTGCCCGCAGCTGCACTGGCCGTTGTTTCCAGAGCAGCCCCAACACAAGACTAGGCAATTGCCTTGTCACGGATGGTGCCCAGTCACACCACCATGTTGCGGTAGGAACTTGATGGGTTACGCTGAAAAAAAGTAATGCATGTATTACTTTTTTTCAACTCAGTGGGATACGACGTGGTACAGTTGCCTCACACCCCGCTGTGCTCGTAGAAGTAAATTAATTGTCACTTGAGACATTTCAGCAAAGTTCTAACAAAGAAAACAAGTACATAGTGTGATGGGCCAGGATTAGCGCATCAGCTCTGTGGCAGGCACTGCACATCAAATTCAGTTCAATGAGCATACAGAGTGAATTGGCCCTAAGGGTCATCTTTTGCAGTGCGTTGCGGTTAGCATGTTGTGGTGCCATTCATTTTAAATGACACCCCAATTCAGTAAGGCAGGGGTAGGCAACCTTGGAGCTCCAGCTGTTGTGGTACTACAAGTCCCACAAGGCATTGCAAGACTCAAACAACCACAGGCATGAATCCCAGAGGCATGAAGGGATTTGTAGTTTCACCACAGCTGGAGTGCCAGGGTTTGTATTGGCGCCCCTGATAGAATGCTATATGTATGTATGGCTTTGTGAATTTCCAGCTTCACCATCCATTCTATTATGAGAAGAGCGTTATATTTGATTGACTTGCGGGCTTTTCCGAAATGGCCACCAGAACCTTCTGTTGTAGGTCCTTATGTCCATATTGCTGCACTGCAATATTGATCACATGACAACTTTTACTTGTGCCAGCTTGTAATGTGGGCTGCCTGGCCAGGTAAGGGGGGAGAGAATACAAGTAGGGAGGTGGGGAGAACCCAGTGGGTTTCTAGTGAGCAATGGCAGAGGACCCAGCAGGCGAACGGTGAATGGAGCCCAGGAAAGGCAAAATGGTTTTGGTGATGCTATCTGTAACCTATAGCAGCAGCCTACAATGTGCAGTGACAGATACATTTCCATTTGTTGTTTACCTTACAGAACCTTTGACAATGCCATCCTTTCTCAACTCTCTCAACTTTTTTTTAACATGGAGTAGCCCTTAAAATATATTTTCAATCTCAGGGAAAACCTGCTGCTAATCACTATATCTACAGCTCCCAGTGTATTAGTGTGGTGGTCACTGGGAAGAATGCTCCTTACATTTGTGGTCATTGGGGAGAATACTCCCTACATATGTGGTCATTGAGGAGAATGCTCATTACATTTGTGGTCGTAGGGGAGACTGCTTCTTACATTTGGGGTTATTGAGAAGAATGCTCCTTACATTTTTGCTCATTGGGAAGACTGCTTCTTACATTTGTGGTCATTGAGAAGAATGCTTGTTACATATGTGGTCATTGGGAAGAATGCTCCCTACATTTGTGGCCATTGAAAAGAATGCTTCTTATGATTGTGGTCATTGGGAAGAGTGCTTCCTACGATTGTGATAATTGGGGAGAATGCTCCTTACATACAGTATGTGACCATTGGGGAGAATGCTCCTTACATTTGTGGTCATTGGTGAGAATGCTTCTTGCATTTGTGGCCATTGGGAAGAATGTTCCTTACATTTGTGGCCATCGGGGAGAATGCTCCTTACATTTGTGGTCATTGGTGAGAATGCTTCTTGTATTTGTGGCCATTGGGAAGAATGCTCTTTACATTTGTGGCCATCAGGGTGAATGTTCCTTACATTTGTGGCCATCGGAGTGAATGTTCCTTACATTTGTGGTCATTGGGAAGAATGCTCATCCCATTTGAGGTCACTGGGAAGAATACCCCCTTACAGATAGCTAAAAGGTATCACCGCCGGCCCCGCTACGCTCTCATTGTAATGACAGCTGGTCCCGGCCAATAGAAAACAGTTGGGCAGAGCTAGTTGTCACTGCTATCTCCGCCCAATAATTTTCTATTTTTTTTCTTCTTTTTTAACTGGTTTTCTATTCTGCTCGGTACCATAGAGGTATCGAGCAGAATAGCCGAGCCGAATGCTGCTCGGCAGCATTCGGCTATTCACTCAAGGGTGTTCGGCTTCTATGAGAATAGGCCGAACATCAGCGAGTAGCCTGCCGAAGGTTCGGCTCAGCCGATCCAGATGTTGGATCGGCTGAGTCGAACTCCTTCTGCACTTCGGGTCGGCCGAACTGCTGAGCATGTTCGGCCGACCTGAAGCCAGCCGCAGCAAGCCGATGTACGGCTGATTTCAGTCGGTACAAGTCTGAAGTGAATAGCCGTACATCATTCGGCTCACTTCACTTCGGGTCGGTTATTCACACTGCTGCCCCTGGCAGCTTTGTGAATAACTCTCTAAAAGTTTTAAACATCAAGGAGCAGAATCAATTGTAAGTGATTTCATCATCATATGAATTAGCTTAAAATTTGTTTTCCTCTAAAATCACTTTAAAGAGTTTTTGTGACTGTTCCTTTGCATTACCCCTCTTAGTAATCCATTCTGTTCTGTTTTTGCTATGTTTCCTTTTTCTTAGGGTTTAGAATCTGATCTCCAGGTTTTGTGCAGAATCCGGAAGAGTGTGCGATCTATCTATACAGCAGGTCTCTGTAAGTATCAAATACTTATAGGGAGTTTCAGGATGACTTAGGTCGGGACTATGTAGTTATTTCTCAGCTTCTGCTTTAGAACATTCAGCACAGTTGCAATATGTGTGGCTCCGTCATACTTTTCTTTGTTACATTTTGATGCATTCAAGAAGGACTGTGCCCCAATGAGATTAATCGATGTGGCCATCTCAGACAGCCCTTATGGAGGCATGGTGGGGAGTAGGCGGCACTGAGGCCAGAGTGTCCATGCCAAAGCACTTTGTAGTGAGGTGTGGTGCATTGCAAGAAAATGGAGCATGTCTGAATTTTTATACAACACACCGCAATCCACCTCAGGGCAGCATTACGGTGTATCGTAGATCAATGGAGGCTCAATGCCAGGGCACATAGAGAACAATTGTTCTCTATGTTTTCTATTGTTTTCTATGTGCCCTGGCATTAAGCCTGCATTGATCTATGCAGATCAACGCAGCTTAAATGAAGTGGTTCAGTCTGCTCTTAAGTTACAGTTTAGTTTTTAGTGACGTGGTGGTAAAATCAGACTGACTTCTTATGTTTTGGACACTTTAACAGTGAGCCTTCCCAGCCACCATTCCTGACTTGTTTCTTTTAGTATTATTGACCACCTTTGTTTCTGTGCCTCCTGTTTTATCATCCATAATATGTAATGAACAAATAAACAAACAAACAGAGAAAGTGGAAGCCCCTCATAATGGCCACAGCAGGGGGTGCAGACCTAGGCACTTGAGCGTAGATAGAGTCCCCATGAGATTTAAAAACTGTTAGTTACTGTAGTTGTTTAAACTCTCTAGCATCTAGTTTTGGGTGATCTGACTCCAGCCGCCTGCGAAAATGGTCCACTGTAGCGTGGAACTGGTGTCTGCTGGGTGGCAGCGATATCTAACAGTGCCTTGTGTTGTTACAACGCAAGGTGCTGTTTACTTTTTTAAACTTTATTGGCAGCGTACAAAGTGTATGCTCCATCCAGGTCTTCACACAGCTGCACGATGCCATCCAGTGCTCTGCAGAAAATTACAACACGTCTTTCTGCACCGCACAGTACACCAGTTTTGTGAACAGAGCGCATAGAACACAATTGTTTTCAGTGCACCACGGTGACCCAGTGCTGGAAAAGGCCAGTCACTGCAACTGGTGTGAATTCAACCCCTTTCCTGCTCGTACATTTCTAAATCCCATTGGCTTTCGAGTGCGGTCTTCATCCAGCTTCTGCTGCACGGGTATGAGAGGATTCCCAGGGGCTAATATGAGTCTGCTGAACAATTGCTGCCAGAAGTGCTTGATGGGGCTTTGGAATGCAGGAGAAGCAGAGAAGGGATATGGAGGTGATTTAAGCTGGTCATACACTCATAGATTTCTTCCATTGAGCCTGCTAAACGGCGTGCATGGAGGAATCTCCCCTGCCAGATATTGTATTCTGTCAGATGGTGCCCACAGCTGTTCAAATACCTGAACAGTGACTGCAACTGAATGGCTTAAGTCACTATTTGGCCAGCAATTTTCCACCAGTCTCGTTTCTTTTCTTTTAATTGACTTTTGTCGAGCTTGGAGGTGCTGGCAGGGCCATGTACAGGTCAAATTTTGGCCGATTCAGTAGGAGACGGAAGTATTTCGAGCATGGTATGGATAACATCACACAGTATACGGACTTCTTACTGCTGATTGGACTCATCCAACAATTTTCCACCCACCTCCTTCAACAAAAGTTGATTAAGGCTACGCTTGCAACTTCTCCAATGCATTCCAGCACGGTTAGCTGCTGGAACGCACTGGATCGCATACTGTCCGGCTCCCTGCATCCTGGGGCGGGAGGGGGAATGTCGGTGCGATCACCATTTCATTCCGGTGGAATGAAATGCACTGGTGATGGTGTGAACGGGCCCTGAAAGATTGACTCTTATCGGGCCGGGTGGTGCAGCAAGGCCACCCACAGATTGCATTGTGGCCGATTCAGCAGGAAACAGAGGTATTTCAAGCAGGGTATGGCTAGCATCACACAGCACACGGCTTCTTACTGCCTCTCCCTTATGTGGACCCCTTTTTTGTTCTGAGCTGTCACTGTCATGTTAATCATTCTTTTCTGTTGTTTTACCCCCTAGCTTTTGTGAACGCTCAGGAGAGCTATGTGGAAGACTTGCAGTCCCTGGGCTCAAACCAGCTGTCATCAAGCAACCATGAACTGACCACCGGATTTCTGAACTTGTCTGTTCTTTCCAGGGAGCTCTGTGCCCTCTTCAGCAACATGGTGAGAAGGATTGTGCGGCCTGCCGACACAACGGCCTCTCCACCTTCACTCTATGTACTTCTCACTCCATCTGTCTCTTTCTGAAATGTTTCCTTTTGTTCCCCACCCCCATGTCTTTCTGACTGTATGTGATATTGCAGTCCTGACAGAATATTTTCCTCGTCATATGGCTCCAATTAGAGGAACACCCAGAGAACTTGTGGGAGTGTGTGTACTGATGTGTAAGGGGGCGATGGAACGAACGAGAAAAGGGGATTTACACCAAAAGAATGTGTTACTAACTCACAATATCTCCTTGTATGGGGGTTTCATTTTCATGTTTTCAGTAATGTGAATTATTATCCAAATTAGCTTGCATTTAATATTCTAAATCGGAAGTCTGGTTCTTAAGCCTCATTCACACTGGCAGGGTCAAACCAGCCTTTAGAGCACATTTCTAAATGCAGAAGAATGCATTTAATAGATTTTTAGCAGTGTCATTAAGACTTTACCTGGAGATTTACCTGTGTTCAGTTCTGCTGCGTTTAGAGAAAATAGAATTCCGTATATATCCAGGACCTGATTAGAAACTCTAAAGACATGTAAACATATCCAAACATGTGTACACATGTCCAAATGTAGCTTTATGCAGGAACAGCTAAAGGCAGGAAAAAGTGATCTGGGAAGCATAAAGTAGTGTATACATTGTGAATTAATCAAGGACCAGCTAAAATCTGCACAGTGGGTGCCCCTGTCACCACCGTTCTGGGTAGCATCCCTCGATTATCTGATAAAAGGATCAAGTTGAAAAAGCTCACCCAAACAGTTCGGGTATTTTGACAGTGTAATCCAATGCAAAACAGCAGGGGCTTCCTACATCCACGCTTATAAGCATTGATGGAAGAATCTGTTATATTTTCTTCTAGGGATGTTCAGATACCAGTGCCGATAGTTGGTATTTTCATGAGAACTACCAGGGTTGCAGCTGTGACAGGGCCCTAGCGCTGTCCCCACCACTGTCCTGAAATCATTAGTCTGTATTGTTTTAGCAAAACTGTCACATGACAATAAACAAAAATGTATCAGTACTTGTATCTGTGAGTACTTGGACAAGTATCAGTACTTGGTCTGGAAAAATGGTATCGGTGCCTCCCTTGGTGCATCCCTAGTTTTAATTAAAACTATTTTTTTTTGTATTGGGACAAGTAGATTGTTATGAAGGACATAGATTTGGCCCCCGCTTTAGCCCTTGGACAAGTAGTTTTTTCAAAAATTTCCACACCCCTGCTTATATATATTTATAAAAACAAAATCATACATTAAAACGGCGATGCACAAATCCCAGGAGCTCCGTGTGCTCCTTACAAATGACAGCTGCCTCCTAACTTTTGAGTTTTTCTCTAGTCTAGTCTTGGAGCTGGAAAAGTATTTGTACATGTACTTGTACCAAGTACGGTACTTGTTATCTGAACATCCATATTTTCTTTGTTCAGCCTGCAGATTGAGCAAAGAACATATAAGCGTGTATAACTTACTTAAGGCCCCATTCACACAGGGTTTTAGGCTGCACCTGGGGATTCCTGCAGCAAGAATGTTGTGACAGGAATTCCAGGTGTATTCGTTGATATGGCCGATGTGCCTGTTCAGGTTAATGACAGGGTGATAGTGGCTGCATCTGTCAGCGGCAGTCCATGTGCGGTTTGGGATAGATGATTGTCCCTGGATGCAATCTGTCTGCACCCTGGTATTCCAAACCGCAGATAATTGTTCCATGAATGATTACATGCAGGCTGCTGATGCCGCTGTGACCCTGCAATTAACTTGGATGGAAACAGTGGCTGCATCTGTATGGACATACCTGGGATTCCTGATGCAAATATCCATAGTTTGTCGCCTTAGGAATCCCCAGCCGCAGCCTAAAGCCCTGTGTGAAGGTAGGCCCTATGCACACAAGCATTCTGCATTAAACGCACGAGAAGTTATCTGGGAAATATTTAAAAAAACGCTTCCCAGATCACTTTTTCCTTTGTTCCTGGGTTTATGCCACATTTAGATGCAATTACACAGGCTACATGGTCCCGGGACGCAGAAAATTCTAGTTTGTTTAAACAAAGCTAGACAGAAGGCACCTAGACATTCAGCAATAGCAAAGCATTGCATGCTTCCAGGTGCGTTTAGAAATGAGCTCCTAACACACTTTTTTTTTTCATTCCTGTGTACACGAAGCCTAAAAGTTGTTTTTACTTCCCAGATAACTTCTCCTGTGCTCAGAAAAGCTGAACTGTCAAAGGAGCTGGGCCAAATATTGTCGACCAAACTGTGACTGCAACCAGTCAGCTGCAGCAGCTGTCCTGATATTCTAACAGCTAGTGCTGGCTGTCAGTTACAATAGCCTGAAAGGGAAGATTCCCCCATCTACTTTTTTTAGCATGGATGGGGAAACCGAGCATTGCCTCATGCACTACTAGTGCAAGTTGCAGAAACCTTTGTAACTTTCTTCAGCAGGTAGCCAGCTTGAGTCCCTATATAGTCTGGTATGGTTCTTGTCCCTCTGCCACCCTGCAAGATTAGATTAAAGAAGTCAATGGGGATTTCCTGACCTCCAGGCATGCTCCCAGATATGTAAAATGTCACACTTTGTGCAGTTTATTAAAAGAAACCTGTAATGAGAAAAATAAGAAGGCTGCCATCTCCTTCTGAAAATGCTAATTCCCTGGCAGTCTCTGCCTTTAATACTTTGAGACAGTAACCTGGAACACTCTTGTTGAATATTGAACACAGAACCCCAGAACAGCAAGGCTAGTATACTACCTGTTGTGTAGCAGATTTGTAGAGGACTGAGCTAAACCAAGCCAAATGGCAGGCATCTAGTTCACACATTACATTGTATGCTTCATGCCTGTGCTGTCTGGTATAGAAATGGAAGTTTTCCGATCACAAATGGGCCTCTTTAGCCTCCAAAGTGGTCTGCTGTGGTGGTAGCTCTGCAACTGGGGTACACCTATACTTTTCATTCTTAGTTGTGTTATAAATGCATGCTTTCCTTGCATAGCATGCCCCACCTCCCATAGATCTGTAACCACATCATACTCTGCAGACTTCCTGGCTGTCAGTGCTTGGTTAACAAGAGAATTCGCCTAGCCTAATCCAGCAGCCGGTTGTCAAATCCTCATTCTGTCCACATTCTCATCATCTTGCTGATATCAGCGTTTATAAAAGCCCAAACATTAATCTTAAGATGCAGGCAGTTTTGGCAAGCAGCTGTCTGGCTACTGGGAGTCTATTGACATGCTAGCAGTTACGGTATAAGCAAAGGACATATTTAGCCCTGGGAATGTGCTAATTGCTGCTTTTACAAAGTGCATGATCAGGCATATGGAAATGATTTGAAACATTAACTGAGAATTTTCATTTCTATGTAATCTTTTAGATACAGAACCTCAACAGCATCCTTTCATTTCCTTTGGACTCATTATTGCGAGTAGATTCAAAAGATGGCCGAATGGTACGTTTAAAGGCTTTCTCATTCTCATTCTCTTTCTCATATTATTATTATTATTATTATTATTTGATCAGATCGTGGTTTTCATTCTTTGGCATTCCTATAACACCTCTTTTTATGTCTGTGCAGGAACTGAGGAAACAGGCAGACAAGAGCTGGAAGGAATGTGAGATAAGAGCGTAAGATTACTGCTTCTTGTAGATTGTTAATGTGTGGTGTGTAGTAAGGCAAGCAGGAACTTGGTCCATGATAATGGGATAAACAGCCCCGATGCTGGCGACGTACACTGTACGTCGTCAGTCACGAAGGGGTTAAAGGAAATATTTGGCGAGAGAAACTTGGAGGGTCCCATTTGTGACTTCTTCTTTTAAAAATGGCAGTTGCCTGGCTGTCGTGTTAATCTACTAGAATTAATTATTTGAGTCGCTGACCTGGAACAAGCCTGGAACAAGCTTGTTCCTGACCAAAAGCCAATCATCTGTTTGAAGTGTGTGTATGGGTGATGTAATTAGAACACATACCTGTTGATCCTCCTTGAAACCCTGCCTGCTTGAAACTTTATGTATAGGGTGACAATATTGACACAGTGCCATTAAAATCACAATCAGTGTTGTCACCCAGGTGTCCACAATGTGGGCAAAATACCCTGATCAAGAGCTGGAACATCCACAAGGCAGGTTTTTAAGACCTTCTGGATTTTCACAGGGTCCATCTACATTCATAATTTTCCTGAAGGTGGGAAGCACAGTTGGTCAAATCAAGGCAAATGCCTCCGACTTTACAATGAAGGATGTACTTGTAGGCCATTAGTGTTTGATGGGAAGGGTCATGCCAGTACAATGCAAAAAGGGCAGCTCCTCTGTCACTTTTGACATCCGTATCAATGTCAGTTAGAGGGATTAGGGGACCAAAGCTGCAACCTTGCTAAGGGCCCTTTTCTGAAAGTAAAGGCCATATAAAAAATGACTTTAAATCTGAACTCTAGGCAGTTACAAAATACACATATTGATACAGCTCTGTATTCATTTATAAACATTAACAGTATATTTTAAATGCAAGCAGTGTAAGTACCTGAATTTGACTCTGTATAGACCACTTGCAATCTACTGTACAGAGGATGAGAGGAAAAAGCAGTAAAAGGAGCTAGTGCTGATGAGGAGTATGCTGATTGGAGGAGAGTGTCAAAGTCATAAAGAGATTATATCATCGCTGCACTGCTTCTCCTTTCAGTGTCCAGTCACAGGCTTGGATTGGGTGCAATACTCCTCAATTTCAAAGGAAGTAAGTTAAATGATGCTGGCCAGAAACCCTAGCTGAGGCCATAACCACTAAGAAACCTTAAAAAAATGTAAAGGTGCGGAAATGTAAATAAAAAACATATTTCCTTTTTGTTTAAGGTGTTATTTGAGGTTTCCTGGCCTAAACAAAATTTCCGGTGTTTGTTTGCACTTTACGTCCGGTTACATTTCAGTTAAGGATAGTTTTCCTGTGTTTTCCTTAGACTGCACACTTTTTCTGCTTGGACAGTTCTATAAAGCATATAGAAAACAAATAAATATCTAAGTAGCTGAAACCTGAAATACTCAAGATTAACAGTGTACACCTTAGGGTAGTCAAATTTCCGGCTCTCCAGCTGTGGTCAAACTACAAATCTCATTATGCATCTGCCTTTGGGAGTCATACCTGTGGCTGTCCGAGTCTTGATATGCCTCATGGGCTTTGTAGTTTCCTCACAGCTGAAGGGCTGAAGTTTGGCTACCCCTGGTGTAGGCTTTGAGAAGCGGTAGACCAAATTTCCAGGTGCAGGTACCACACCCCCAATGTAAGCAAAGAGTTAAAGAATGAAAGGAGAACTATGGGGTCAGTGTTTTTCCCCATAGTTCTCCTTAGGGTAACGGGAGGACACAAACTAGCGTCCTCCCGTTACCCTAAGCTCAGCCGGAGCGGATCCCGACTTAGACGACGGGATCCGCCCAGCTGCGTGAGTGACAGCTGGCTCTGCCTATCCAGAGGCAGAGCCAGCTGTACCCGCCCCCTCCCCCGTCCGTTCCGCCAGTCAGCGCTGGCAGATCGGAGCGGGCAGAGGGGAATCCAGCCCCTCCCCCTGTCACGGCAGAGAGCCGTGACAGGATCGAGAGGTGAGCGAACCCGGTATGTGTTCGCTCACCTCCCAATCTACTGAGCCGACCTGTGATAGTCTCATTGTCACAGGTCGGCTAGAACTATGAGGTGAGTGAAAAGCACTCACCTCATAGTTCTCCTTTAAGGTAAATTGGGGCTTTAATGGTAACCCATAAATGTGTGCAATAAAACATCACATTTTTTATTAATACAATTATAAAACCACATTCACCTAGTTAAAAGTGTTTTCCTCATACATTGATTTTATACAACTCCTACACTAATAGCAACTTGCTTTTCTCTGGTATCAAAGTGGTGGGTCTATCAAAATGAGGACTTGTTGCTTTCAACTTGTATGGGGTGCTGTGGTGGTTTATGTCTCAACACATTTCGCTGTGTTAGTTTCCTCAGGAGAGAGGTGTACAAGCTATCCGAGCATGCAGGAAAACCTGATAAGAGCAATGGACGCCAACCCTAAAGTGGGGGAGACCACAGGAGGGTGCAGATATGATGACAATGACCGCTGAGGACTCCACTGTAGTATATGTAGTGGTGTCCTTCTAGTCATCTCTCCTGTGAAGTGGTTTTTCCTTACACATAGATTATAATTTATGGGCTACCATTAATGCCCTATTAACCTTCATTCTTTGACTCTTTATCCCTGGTGCAGACCATGGCAATGCCAACACTGAGGTGGAGGGGGGTCGGGGGACATAAGAGGAGGCAGATTCGATGATGGTGATCACTGAGGACTTTCCTGTAGTATCTCTAATGGTGTCCTTCTAGTCTTCCCTCCCATGAAGTGATGTTTTATCGTACACATAGATTATAATTTATAGGTTACAGTTAAAGCACCATTTTACCTTCATTCTTTTGGCTCTCTACCCCTGGTGTAGATCATGGCAATGCCAACCCTAAGGTGGGAGGAACCATAGGAGGGGGCAGATGCAATGACGGTGACCACTGAGGACTTCTCTGTAGTATCTCTAATGGTGTCCTTCTAGTCTTCCCTCCCATGAAGTGATGTTTTATCGTACACATAGATTATAATTTATAGGTTACAGTTAAAGCACCATTTTACCATTTTATTTTGTGTTAATTATGGTCATAACAGACACTTTGTGGTGTCTACGTTTAAGCCAGATTTGTACTTTTAGAAACCCTATGCTTTTAAATACAAAGTTTATCTGAAGAATGTCTAAAACTAAGAAATGTTGTCACCGGAGCTGGGCTTTAAAGCAGAAGTCCAGGAGTGATATTTTATGGATACTTACAATGGTCCAGCTTTGCTCAATGTAAGTTTTCATATCTGATATCCAGAGGGCCAATGAGTAGGCTGAAAATTACTGTAGTAGTCAGTGCTATATACCAGGATAGCCGTAACCTTTAGGTGTGACTCCATTGGCTTCCCCCCGCACACTGAGTAAAGGGAATCGCTCACTTGGCGCTTCCACCATTCAGAGAATGCCTTGTATTTCTCAATGAATACAAGGTGCTCTCTGATTGGAATTATGAAATTATGACATTATCCACTCCATTTTCCTCCTCATCCAATCAGAGAACGCCTTGTATTCGGTAAAAGGAAATACGGTGGTGCTGAGCAAGCATCGCCATGGGCTTAGTGTGCGGAGGGGAAGCCACTAGAGCTGCACCTGGAAGAGACCAGCTATCAGTGTATGAAGTGCAAACCAATAAAGTGTTTTTAGCATCTCCAGGGGTCCCTTGAAAATCAGATAGATAACCAATGTTAGTATCCAAAAAAGATAATTCCTGCAGTTCTGCTTTAAGATTAAAAGTGATTTGGTATGTCTTGTATTTATATTTGGTATATTATATTTCTCTATGTAATGTCTCCTATAACCATGCTGCTGGCACCTTTCCAAGATTGAGGTGAGAACACACTGGTTTTCCATATTGTTTCCTTCTTAACCACCACTAGTGCAATGGTTCTTGGGTGATTGTATTTGACTCTGTCTTTGCAAGTGATAGGAATGATAAGGTTGGACTGAAATCTACAAAGCTTCATCTCTCCCTGCAGGACAAAAAAAGCTCGCTCAGGGGGGTCTCGGGCAGAATTAGACAACACGGAGGACGTTGAAAGGGAAAGAAAACTGTTTCAGCTTAACTCGTGTGAGGTGAGCAATGTAGGCAGCATGGGGAGGCAGGGATAGGTAGGCTGTAAATAGCCTGCCACTTCTGTGTCCTTGAAAATGGATTGCCCCTGCTTATATTGCTTTTTTTCTTTATTATGCTCTTTTTTCAGTATCTTCTAAAACTAGGAGAGCTGCAAATGAAACAAGGTCCTGATTTCTTAGAGTGTCTTATCAAAGCTTTCCATGCACAGAGAAAGTAAGTATGGCACAAATGACAGCTAATAGCATTTCCACCTTATCTTGTGTTACCTTCCCTACAAAGAGCACTCAGTGCTGTACGTGTCACTTCCTAATATGAGGCCTGTGATGTACAATGAATGGAAAGCAGCCTGATGCTGTGTGTGTGATGGGAACAAACCTATAGCTACTACCACCACAGTCTAGAATAGCATTTCTCAACCTGTTTGTTATAGCACCTTTAAAAGTATGCATAATGTAGAAGCACCTCAGTCTATAATGTCAAAAATATAAATGTAAAAAACAAAGTGTGGTCCAGCCTTTCCCAAAATCACATCAGAAGCCCCATTCACATCAGAGTCTCCTCCTTTCACATCAGGATCCCCCTTCAGATGAGGAGTCCCCCTCCTTTTACATAAGAAGTCCCACTTTAGACCAGGAGCCCCCTTCACATTAGAGTCCAGTCCTTTCACATCAGGAGCCTCCTTCATATCAGGAGCCCCATTCACATCAGAGTCCCCTCCTTTAACATCAGAAGCCCACTTTCACATCAGGAGCTCCCCTATACATAGGTGCCCCCCCCTTCACATTGGGGCTCCCTTACATCAGATCCCCCTTTCACATTATAAGCCCCCCTTTCACATCAGAAGCCCCATTCACATCAGGGTCTCCTCTTTCACATCAGATGCCCCCTTCACATTAGAGTCCCCCCTTTTCACATCAGAAGCCCCATGCACATCAGCAGCCCACTTCACATCAAATTCCCCCCGTTTATCAAAAGTTTGAAAGTACCCCTGACAAAGCAAGAAGGCATCCTGGTTGAGGAAGGCTGGTCTAAAACACTATTTTATACTGTATCTCTTTTTTAACTAGACATGTTACATTGTAGGTTTAATGTGAGAATAGGTGTTAATGTATATGATGGAGGGTTTGGTACACATACACTTAAGGGTTGATTTACTAAAGGCAAATAAGCTGTTCACTTTGCAAAGGACTCTTACTGAGCTTAGTAAATAGGGGGAAGCTCTGCTGACTTCCATCGTCCAATCATGTGCAAGAATGAATACATTTTTTTCTTTATTTTCCTTGCTCCTGTGAATGGGTATTATAAGCAAAGTGAATTTTGAGTGACTGGATTCCCCCCTCCCCTGTCCGATCCTCCAGCGCTGACTGGCGGAACGGACGGGGGAGGGGGCGGCAACAGCTGGCTCTGCCTCTAGATAGGCAGAGCCAGCTGTCACTCAAGCAGCTGGGTGGATCCAGACATAATTGTCGGGATGCGTTTCAGCTGCGGCGCCTCAGTATACCGCGAGCTGTAGCTCGCGGTATACTGAGCTTAGGGTGACGGGAGGACGCCAGTTTGTATCCTCCCATTACTCTTAGGAGAACTATGGGGAAAAGCCCTGACCCCATAGTTCTCCTTTAAGGGAAAATTTCCTTGCAAAGTTTATATTTCCATTTAAAAAGAGCCTATTTGCCTTTAGCAAATCAGCCCCCCTATGTCACACTGGCAACCTTGACAGCTGGCTTGCCTTAAAAGTAACTGTTTTGAGAGACATAAAATTGGTGGGTAAAGCTCCTCCTTAACAGGTAGGCATTGTACACTTCTTGTATAGGTAGAAGAACCAGCTTTGAGGTGACTACCAAGTAGCAAATAACAGTCAAATAGGCAATATTTTAGAAAAATGCAATACATCTTTGCAATAACTGTACATTTCCTAATGTATTATCCCTTTAAAGTCTCTACAAGTACAGAAAACAACCTGTTGATCTGCCAGAAATGCACTCACCTCTTGACCCTTGTTGTGAGCTGACAACACACAACCTTTTTGGTGTCAGCCTTGCCTAGTGTCTTTTGCTAAACTACTTAACTGCTCCTATCCTCAGGTCTCTACCACATAAATAAGGATGTTCAGATACCAAGTACCGTACTTGGTACAAGTACAAGTACAGATACTTTTCCAGCTCCAAGACTAGACTAGAGAAAAATAAAAAGTTATGAGGCAGCTGTCATTTTTAAGGAGCATACAGAGCTCCTGGGATTTGTGCATCTCTGTTTTCATGTATGATTTAAAAATAAATAAATATATACAGTATATAAGGGATGCACCAATACCATTTTTTTCAAGTCCAAGTACTCACAGATACAAGTACTGATACATTTTTGTTTATTGTCATGTGACAGTTTTTCTAAAACAATATCGACAAATGATTTCAGGACAGTGGATGAGCACCAGAGCTAGGTCCCAGCTGCAACTTCTGCGACCCTGGTAGTTCTCATGAATATGCCAAGTTTCGGCACTGGTATCTGAACATGCCTATAAAGGATTATCATTTTGTAGTCCAAGATAAGAATCTCTTTAAGATAACACAAGAAATGTGCAGAGGATACAGTACACCTCTGAATCTCTGACATGGTCAACATGTTTTTGTGCACTTATCAAACAGGTATAACAAAACACAGTTGTGTATTAAACAGCCAAGAGGGAGCAAATAAGGGAAGTTTATTGTTAGGGTTTATGTACATGTCCCCAGCCTGTTATTAACCACCTCTCTGTCTTGGGTTTTTGGTGACTGCATGCAGCTGATCTCTCTCATTACTTCCTGTGTATTCTACCCAGCTCCAGGGGAGCCCTCCTAGATTAATCCTCCAAGTTGCTCAACCAGCCTCTTTTAAATATAGCAATGTCTACGCTCCCATACTGAACCATCTTTTGCATCACCCCGCCATTACTTGAAGCCTGCATAATGAGAGCTGCCTCTACCCTCACAGAGATTAGTCTTTTTAGGCAACCCCAACATATCCTCAACGACACCTTCTTGCACTGTGAAGTCCCCCTATTGGCACAGGCCACCTGCTGCCAGTCACAACCTAGGAAAAATTCCCTTGAAACAGGGGAAATCCCCCAGACCCGCTGATCACTTGTAAAGACCACCTGTCAAAGCCTTGTATCTACAGGATGAAAACAAAATGCATTGATCCTTTATGATATTGTTCCTTCCCTACCTATTTGTGTAGTGTTTGCTGTGATCTACATTCTAATTACATTATGTCTTTATATGGCACTGTAATATTTTCGATCTAGCTTTTTTCAGGATGGATTAAATGCTTCACAGAGTCTCCTTCCTTTCATTGAAAAGATATCTTCTTCTTTGCATACTGTGAGTATCATTCTGACTGGAATTCTCTTGGTCATTCTGTCTATAAAAGGTATTGCCATACTTTATGTGCTTGCTCAGTTTACTTAGGGAAATGCTTGGTGATGTACTTGTAGATTCACCAGACTCAGGATGAAGAGCTGAAACAACTTTCAGAAGCTCGAGAAAATCTTCAAAAACAACTACAATTAGAAACAAAAGAGGTGGGCAGCTCACTATAATTAGTTAAATAACTAATTGCATTTCCAGTTCAGTATGTATGATGTTTTATACAGTAAACTGTACCATTAATAATCAACATAGCCACACGCCATTAAAGTGTACTTGAAATACGAATGTGTCTAATTGAGAAAAACATTTGTTATATGGGAACATGATACACAGTCCTCAGCTTTATATTGAACTTTCTATATTTTTAGGATGGAATAAATAGAAAAGATTCTGGATACAACTTGCACCAACAGCAAGGTGACAAACAGCATGGAACAGAAAAGTCTGGTTTTCTATACAAGAAGAGTGAAGGGTACAGCTTAAATACTTTATATAAAGTAAACTCCATATTCAAGAAGTATTCTGGTCTAAATGATAATCTGTATATAACCTGCTGTGAAGAAGCTGTTATCTGGATGCATTATCTGGATCCCAATTAAACAAGTTTGATGGTGGGTTTGAGCTGTCAGAGCTGTAAAAAAAGGCAATTCAATAGATAATTTATATTATAAAGTAAGTCACTTTACTACACTTTGGTATTACATATCCATCTAAGACAACTCATGGGTTGTAATCCCAGGCGGAGCATAGGGGAAATTTTGGGGGTCACAGGTACTAGCATGTGTTATTACTTGGTATTATGCCCTGTGTACCTGTCATATAATAATGGTGTTTACCCACCTTGTGTCATTACTACATCAGGGGCATTTATGCCAGACAAAGCAGATCTGTGCATGTCTCCAACTTAATATTTATGTGCCCTGTAAAAGTGTTTCCCAACATAGCCTTTTCCTAATCAAATAGACGCAATAATAGTACAAATGTAGATTAGGAGGGTGCTGGGGTTCAGGGTATGGACAATTTATGTCCGTACCTCTGGATTTCAGGTATTATTCTCTCAGTGCCTTTGAGGCGTTCCAGAATATAAACAGTTTTGCAGGGGCCTTTTAGTTTATTCTGGGTTTTCTGGATTGGAACTCTGGAGATTTCTAAAGGTGCCCATACACCTTACGATTATCGTACGATAATCGTATGCGATCGAATTTTCGAACGACAATCGTACGTGTGAATAGAGTGCCCGAACCGACATTACTGTACAATCGTACGACTTTTGACGGTCAAGCATGTTTGAAAACTTTGCTCGATCGTACGATTGTCGTAAGGTTGCTGGCGTTTCCGTCCGTCAAAAGTCGTACAATCTACACTGCGCATGCGCGAACGAAAATACGACAAATCAATTACCGCATTTCGTCCAGGTGCTTTTCGTTAATTACGGCTAAATTAATCTTGCGATCATCGGGGCAGGATGGGGCTGTCGTACAAAAATCGTACGACTATTCGATCATCGGACGAAAAGTTTCATCCGATTATCGTAAGGTGTATGGGCACCTTAAGTGTTCTGAGTTGGATGAAATCTCCAGTCTCCAATCAGGTGGCTAAGAGCAGCCTCATTAAGAGTCCACACCAGAGCTCAGGGGAATTGGTGTGTGGTGTGCTGGAGGCACACGTAGGCCAATCCAGGTGTGGTATGTGCTGGAGGCACACGAGGGCCAAGCCAGTTGTGGTGTGTGCTGGAGGCACACGAGGGCCAAGCCGGTTGGTGTGGTAGAGCCACACGAGGAACAGGGCTGGAAGATTATGAGTGGCTGAGAGCCAGAAGTCCTCAGACTGGGACACAGAGAGTGTATGGGACAATCTGAGAATGGTGAGATAATACACTGTTTGCTGAAAGACAAGTGGACTTTATGTTGTACTGCAGAAGAAAGCTATTTTCTGTTATGGAATAAATAAAAGACTGTCTTTATTTATGTTAAAACAGCTTCAAGACTGGTCATTTATCGCTCACCATTGTGCTAACTACCCCAAATATAACTATATGCAACATAGGTTGCAAATCCTATTCTTTTGGCCCCCCCTCCTGCTAATGCTGCCTTTTCTGTCTACCCCTCAGCCTGGTCCTGTATGTACATAGAGAATTGTCCAACAGACTATTTTGTAAAAACAATGCAATGAAAAATACCTTCACTTTAGGACTTGAGGTCAAATTACAGGTATCCTTAGCTACTGTATGTACTTCAATAAGTATTTCATCTTTGGTCAGTACTTGTAGGGTGCTGCACATCCAAAGGAATGGCAGACCCTGGGACTGAAAATGTGTATGTATTACACAGGTCCTTTACAGAAGGCTAACACTGCACTGCAAGGGTTAACTGCTCATTTTTCTCTGGGGCTTGAATACAGAAGATACACTCACCTGATCTTTAGTCCTGCGATGGAGAGTGCTCACCTCTCTCTGCTGTGGTATGTTCCTCGGCGTCTTCATGTTTATTGCAGATAAATGGACTGCATTAGATGTGATGATGTGAGCGAGGCTTAGATGGCTGATGCCCAGGGGAGAAAGGGCTGTGGGAACTGGTCTATTACCCAGACAGGATATCAAGGATCAGGTGAGTGTTTTTTTTTGAGCCCCTAGACCAAAACGAGCAGTTAACCCTTGCAGTGTGGAAGTAGCATCACTGCATGGGTTAACATTTAAGATACCTGGAGTTCTTCTTTAACATTGGAAGTTTATGGAGTTTGACTTTTATTATTGAATGGCAGCTTGCCATTGCTTGATGATCTCCCGTGTAAAATCACCTGTCATCTCTTCCCTGTCAGTATAACACTTTCACATTAGACTACTTTTATCTTTGCCTTGTCTTTTATGTTTTAGCATACGGAAAGTTTGGCAGAAAAGAAAATGTGGTGTAAAGTATGGGTATCTCACAATATCTCACAGTACGGTGAGTGATGCTCATTTCTTTAGTAGAAACATTACTGCATGCTAAGCATTGCTTAACTTTCTGTGTATGGATAAAGTGCATATCAGTGTAAATATACAGTTGCTAACTCAAGATCACTTAAAGGGAAACTATACTAAGACAATTACATAGGCATCCATTGCTTGCCTTCTTCAGAGAACTCCTTGTGTGTTTAGAAATATCAGATTTTAGCCAATGCGCACTGTTCTGCATTGTATTAAATGATTCTTTGAAAATCACATTAAAAGTAATTTGTAATTTGTTATATAACATTCATGTTTTTACAAGGTTGGTCATCCATGTTTTTTATTAAATACATTATATTAAATACATAATTAAATACAGAAATACGTAGATTAACCACTAGATGGATCTCTGCCTTTGACTTGGCATCATTCAGTCTGCCTGCTTAAAGAGGAACTTCACGCACACTCATCAATATTATTTTCCATATGCCACCTGCCTTTTAGGCTCATTAGTCCTGGATAAACATTCATACAAGTTCAGCAAAACCTGCCCTTTTTTTCTCTATCCGCTCTTTTGCTCCACATCCTGTCTCATGCCACCATATTTTTTTTATGTCATCAGTAGCTGGCGATGTCACCGTGTTTCATGTTACACACTGAATATTGTTGTAACATAAAGCATGGTAGAAAAGGTAAACTTAGCCTTTAAAATGATTGAGCGTTGTCAACCTACCACATGAGTGATGTGATTTGCTGGATCACCAGGTAAAAATAAAGGGAAAAAAATGAATGCAGCCAACAACACTAATAAGGTTATTAACATCAAGCTACCATACATTCGCACTAATATCTCTATACACATTTTAAATGTTTTCCTTAGAAATGCTTATATTTTATAATTAACCTGCTAAACCAGAAAAGCCTTGAAAAGAGTATCATTATGAGCTGTGCCTGGACTAGTGAAGATTATGAGGGAAGGGATTCAGAGCATGGAGGATTTCATTTAGTGCCGTATAGCAATAATTTATGTTTTTATAGATCCTGAATGCACAATTCAAACATACCATTAAACTAATTCATTAAGTGTGTCATGCACCATACGCTACCGATTTAGAGTACAAGTTTTGTTTCCAATTAGTTTCCAAGTTTTACTTCCTTCATATTTATGAGTAATGTTCATCGTGTACGGAAGTCATACTTAATCTAAACATGAAAAGTGCCTCTCAGTTTTCTTTTAATTCACATTATGTACCTTTTTTTGTACTAAACAACCAAACAATAGTCTGGTCAAATTTCAGTTCCTGTATATTATTAGTATGGTTCACAGTGGATCTCAATCAAAAACATTAGGTTTGCACCGATACCAATACCAGTATCTCAGCTGATAATGGTCATTTTCACGAGTACTTGTGCTCGTGATACTTCCCCAATACTAAGGGCTGATACCAACACTTTAAAATTTTAAATACATTCGGCTGCCCTAAGGTCTCGCTGATGCTGGGGACCTCGCGACAGCCTTGTGGGGACCTCGCAGCGGCTATTATCCTCTTCCTCCTCCTTCCTGCCTCCTGGCTGAACCCACCCGTACAACACTGGAGAAACCCGACACATCCTCCTGAGATCGCAAACAGCCCTGGGCAGACTGCGCACAGCCCTAGGGAGACTGCGCACAGCCCTGAGGAGACTGCGCACAGCCCTGGGGAGACTGCGCACAGCCCTGGTGAGACCGCGCACAGCACTGGTGAGACCGCGCACAGCCTACTAAGGGCTGATACCAACACTTTAAAATTTTAAATACATTCGGCTGCCCTAAGGTCTCGCTGATGCTGGGGACCTCGCGACAGCCTTGTGGGGACCTCGCAGCGGCTATTATCCTCTTCCTCCTCCTTCCTGCCTCCTGGCTGAACCCACCCGTACAACACTGGAGAAACCCGACACATCCTCCTGAGATCGCAAACAGCCCTGGGCAGACTGCCCGCAGCCCTAGGGAGACTGCGCACAGCCCTGAGGAGACTGCGCACAGCCCTGGGGAGACTGCGCACAGCCCTGGTGAGACCGCGCACAGCACTGGTGAGACCGCGCACAGCCCTGGTGAGACCGCGCACAGCCCTGGTCAGACCGTGCACAGCCCTGGTCAGACCCCACACAGCCTCCTGAGTCCCCACACAGCCCTGGTCCGACCCTGCACATCCGTGGTGAGCAACACAGAGTATGTAGCTTCATATTATTCTGCATTGCTGTATAATGTTTGCATCAGTATCACCTCCTGAATGCCAGACAGCCTCTGCTCTACTGCCCTCTGAAAAGCTATCCTTCGCAAATCACAGTGTGGTGGAGCCTGCCATCTGAACAAGACCTAAAAGAGTTATGACTGAAGTTCAACTTTGTTATTTCTGTTATTAAAGGAAATTGGGCCAGTCTTTGGTAAAATACAGAGTAACTGTAAGCTGCAATCTAAGATGTAATTTTTTTATATATTTAAATCCAGAAAGATGTACAGAATGTTGCTACCAGTATATTACATTTCAAACATTGTTTTGTGCTGCATGTTTTTGGATATTTCCATTGCAGTTTTCTGCTTCTTGTTTTTCAGATTAACCGGCCTCCAGCGAAAATTAAGTTACTAACTTGCCAGGTGCGGCCAAATCCAGAAGACAAGCGCAGCTTCTATTTAATCACACGTGAGTTGTAGAGAGACAGATTGTCCACACACACATGTTTAGACTTGTGAGGAAAGCCAAGCATTTGTGCTAAGCTACAAGAAAAGCAATTTTTATTCCCCCGGAAAGAGAAAGTGATGTTAAGTTAAAAAGGATGCATGGCAGTGATATTTCTAGTTCAGTAAAAAATCTAAAAGTTAAAGAACAACTGTACTTCCTACTTGCTGCAGTCACGTCCATACATCTGGGAAAGCTATACTCTTGGCAGCCTCAAGCGGTCACTCAGAGCAAAGCTTTCCCATAGAAATGAATGGCTGTGAGCGGGACCGCTGGATGGGGTCCCAAGGTAAGTATAAAACCTAGTGGGCAGCAAAAAAAAAGTATATAGAGTTTAACTTTTAAGAGTGACTGTATGCTAAATTCACTGGAATATTCCGATACCGCTGAATGTCAACGCATGCACTCTTCTCATGTGTATTTTTTGAATTGTGAGTGCCTTTTAAATATAAATATCTGTTTAATAGTATATTTTAATGGTGCCTTCTGGAGCTAGAGAAAACTTAAAGTGAATCTGTGCTTTGTTCATGTGGGGCTAAGCAACAGGTTCCATTAACTGTTGCCCCCTCCGCCCCCCCCTCCCCCATTAGCACATAGTCACCTTCCCTTTGTTCCCCTATATCTCGGGTTAAGCATCAGAGAAGCAATACCCAGTAGCTCAAAGTATTTGTGAGCATTTGACTTCCCATACCCTCCCACAAAACATCACTGGTCCTTGGTGATTGGTTGCTCACCTGGGGTCGGGGACAGTATACTCAGCCCTGCATAAGTTCCAGTGGTAGTTACAGAAGCAGATCTACTTGATGTTATTAGTAGTACACTGGTAAATATTCTTTTCTTTGCTTCCAGCAGGTAATTGGGGAAATTGGGGAGTATGAGAAACATGAGTATGTGCAGCTTGGGAGGGCAGCAGTTAAAGGGTTATTAAACCCTCCGTTTTTTTGCAAATATTTTGCAAATATCTACCAGCAAGCAGTAGATATATGCAAAAAGTGTTTAAAAAAATGCTTTGAAAAGGGTTAATGCTTACCTGTGTCTCCCGCGCGCGCTCCCGTCCGAAAATGTGAAACTTCTCGGGCGGCCGCAAAGCATCTTGGGGTGGCAGGCGCATGCGCAGTTCACATTTTCGGCCGGGACGCGAGGAGAGACACAAGGTAAGTCTATGAACGCGTGCACCCGCATGCAGACACCATGGGACAGGAAGTGCCAGCAAGCTCAGAGGAGTCAGCGCTGGATCGGAGACCCGCCGCAGCGCTGGAAGATCGGATTAAGAAACATTATTTAAGGTAAGTGCTTTAATTAACATTGAGGGGAGAGAAAAAGATTTTTGACTTTAATGTCACTTTAAGTGAACCAGTTTGCTTTGCCCTGCATTGGAAAAGCAAAGGCTGGCTATAGATTAGTGTTGAGTACACAGCTGTTTATTGTCTTATTGCCTTTATTGTCTCACCAGTTGAGAACCCCGGTTCTATAAGGTGCTGACACAAAGTGAAGGAAATGTTTAATAAATACAAACCCCAGAGCTATTTAATAAATGTAATTCAGTTCCGTCCTATATTTTCTCTGATAAATGATAATGTCCAGTGGCTTTGTAGTAGTAAGAAAGTTCACTTTTGTGTAATACCTACTGTATAACTCTGTGACTGTAAAAGATCCTTTGGAGCATGAAGACCTAAGATTCAGGTTTGAGAGCAGGCCTCACAGTCCTTGGCTTATCACAGATGGACGTGGTGTTTCCGTCCGTCAAAAGTCGTACAATCTACACTGCGCATGCGCGAACGAAAATACGACAAATCAATTACCGCATTTCGTCCAGGTGCTTTTCGTTAATTACGGCTAAATTAATCTTGCGATCATCGGGGCAGGATGGGGCTGTCGTACAAAAATCGTACGACTATTCGATCATCGGACGAAAAGTTTCATCCGATTATCGTAAGGTGTATGGGCACCTTAAGTGTTCTGAGTTGGATGAAATCTCCAGTCTCCAATCAGGTGGCTAAGAGCAGCCTCATTAAGAGTCCACACCAGAGCTCAGGGGAATTGGTGTGTGGTGTGCTGGAGGCACACGTAGGCCAATCCAGGTGTGGTATGTGCTGGAGGCACACGAGGGCCAAGCCAGTTGTGGTGTGTGCTGGAGGCACACGAGGGCCAAGCCGGTTGGTGTGGTAGAGCCACACGAGGAACAGGGCTGGAAGATTATGAGTGGCTGAGAGCCAGAAGTCCTCAGACTGGGACACAGAGAGTGTATGGGACAATCTGAGAATGGTGAGATAATACACTGTTTGCTGAAAGACAAGTGGACTTTATGTTGTACTGCAGAAGAAAGCTATTTTCTGTTATGGAATAAATAAAAGACTGTCTTTATTTATGTTAAAACAGCTTCAAGACTGGTCATTTATCGCTCACCATTGTGCTAACTACCCCAAATATAACTATATGCAACATAGGTTGCAAATCCTATTCTTTTGGCCCCCCCTCCTGCTAATGCTGCCTTTTCTGTCTACCCCTCAGCCTGGTCCTGTATGTACATAGAGAATTGTCCAACAGACTATTTTGTAAAAACAATGCAATGAAAAATACCTTCACTTTAGGACTTGAGGTCAAATTACAGGTATCCTTAGCTACTGTATGTACTTCAATAAGTATTTCATCTTTGGTCAGTACTTGTAGGGTGCTGCACATCCAAAGGAATGGCAGACCCTGGGACTGAAAATGTGTATGTATTACACAGGTCCTTTACAGAAGGCTAACACTGCACTGCAAGGGTTAACTGCTCATTTTTCTCTGGGGCTTGAATACAGAAGATACACTCACCTGATCTTTAGTCCTGCGATGGAGAGTGCTCACCTCTCTCTGCTGTGGTATGTTCCTCGGCGTCTTCATGTTTATTGCAGATAAATGGACTGCATTAGATGTGATGATGTGAGCGAGGCTTAGATGGCTGATGCCCAGGGGAGAAAGGGCTGTGGGAACTGGTCTATTACCCAGACAGGATATCAAGGATCAGGTGAGTGTTTTTTTTTGAGCCCCTAGACCAAAACGAGCAGTTAACCCTTGCAGTGTGGAAGTAGCATCACTGCATGGGTTAACATTTAAGATACCTGGAGTTCTTCTTTAACATTGGAAGTTTATGGAGTTTGACTTTTATTATTGAATGGCAGCTTGCCATTGCTTGATGATCTCCCGTGTAAAATCACCTGTCATCTCTTCCCTGTCAGTATAACACTTTCACATTAGACTACTTTTATCTTTGCCTTGTCTTTTATGTTTTAGCATACGGAAAGTTTGGCAGAAAAGAAAATGTGGTGTAAAGTATGGGTATCTCACAATATCTCACAGTACGGTGAGTGATGCTCATTTCTTTAGTAGAAACATTACTGCATGCTAAGCATTGCTTAACTTTCTGTGTATGGATAAAGTGCATATCAGTGTAAATATACAGTTGCTAACTCAAGATCACTTAAAGGGAAACTATACTAAGACAATTACATAGGCATCCATTGCTTGCCTTCTTCAGAGAACTCCTTGTGTGTTTAGAAATATCAGATTTTAGCCAATGCGCACTGTTCTGCATTGTATTAAATGATTCTTTGAAAATCACATTAAAAGTAATTTGTAATTTGTTATATAACATTCATGTTTTTACAAGGTTGGTCATCCATGTTTTTTATTAAATACATTATATTAAATACATAATTAAATACAGAAATACGTAGATTAACCACTAGATGGATCTCTGCCTTTGACTTGGCATCATTCAGTCTGCCTGCTTAAAGAGGAACTTCACGCACACTCATCAATATTATTTTCCATATGCCACCTGCCTTTTAGGCTCATTAGTCCTGGATAAACATTCATACAAGTTCAGCAAAACCTGCCCTTTTTTTCTCTATCCGCTCTTTTGCTCCACATCCTGTCTCATGCCACCATATTTTTTTTATGTCATCAGTAGCTGGCGATGTCACCGTGTTTCATGTTACACACTGAATATTGTTGTAACATAAAGCATGGTAGAAAAGGTAAACTTAGCCTTTAAAATGATTGAGCGTTGTCAACCTACCACATGAGTGATGTGATTTGCTGGATCACCAGGTAAAAATAAAGGGAAAAAAATGAATGCAGCCAACAACACTAATAAGGTTATTAACATCAAGCTACCATACATTCGCACTAATATCTCTATACACATTTTAAATGTTTTCCTTAGAAATGCTTATATTTTATAATTAACCTGCTAAACCAGAAAAGCCTTGAAAAGAGTATCATTATGAGCTGTGCCTGGACTAGTGAAGATTATGAGGGAAGGGATTCAGAGCATGGAGGATTTCATTTAGTGCCGTATAGCAATAATTTATGTTTTTATAGATCCTGAATGCACAATTCAAACATACCATTAAACTAATTCATTAAGTGTGTCATGCACCATACGCTACCGATTTAGAGTACAAGTTTTGTTTCCAATTAGTTTCCAAGTTTTACTTCCTTCATATTTATGAGTAATGTTCATCGTGTACGGAAGTCATACTTAATCTAAACATGAAAAGTGCCTCTCAGTTTTCTTTTAATTCACATTATGTACCTTTTTTTGTACTAAACAACCAAACAATAGTCTGGTCAAATTTCAGTTCCTGTATATTATTAGTATGGTTCACAGTGGATCTCAATCAAAAACATTAGGTTTGCACCGATACCAATACCAGTATCTCAGCTGATAATGGTCATTTTCACGAGTACTTGTGCTCGTGATACTTCCCCAATACTAAGGGCTGATACCAACACTTTAAAATTTTAAATACATTCGGCTGCCCTAAGGTCTCGCTGATGCTGGGGACCTCGCGACAGCCTTGTGGGGACCTCGCAGCGGCTATTATCCTCTTCCTCCTCCTTCCTGCCTCCTGGCTGAACCCACCCGTACAACACTGGAGAAACCCGACACATCCTCCTGAGATCGCAAACAGCCCTGGGCAGACTGCGCACAGCCCTAGGGAGACTGCGCACAGCCCTGAGGAGACTGCGCACAGCCCTGGGGAGACTGCGCACAGCCCTGGTGAGACCGCGCACAGCACTGGTGAGACCGCGCACAGCCCTGGTGAGACCGCGCACAGCCCTGGTCAGACCGTGCACAGCCCTGGTCAGACCCCACACAGCCTCCTGAGTCCCCACACAGCCCTGGTCCGACCCTGCACATCCGTGGTGAGCAACACAGAGTATGTAGCTTCATATTATTCTGCATTGCTGTATAATGTTTGCATCAGTATCACCTCCTGAATGCCAGACAGCCTCTGCTCTACTGCCCTCTGAAAAGCTATCCTTCGCAAATCACAGTGTGGTGGAGCCTGCCATCTGAACAAGACCTAAAAGAGTTATGACTGAAGTTCAACTTTGTTATTTCTGTTATTAAAGGAAATTGGGCCAGTCTTTGGTAAAATACAGAGTAACTGTAAGCTGCAATCTAAGATGTAATTTTTTTATATATTTAAATCCAGAAAGATGTACAGAATGTTGCTACCAGTATATTACATTTCAAACATTGTTTTGTGCTGCATGTTTTTGGATATTTCCATTGCAGTTTTCTGCTTCTTGTTTTTCAGATTAACCGGCCTCCAGCGAAAATTAAGTTACTAACTTGCCAGGTGCGGCCAAATCCAGAAGACAAGCGCAGCTTCTATTTAATCACACGTGAGTTGTAGAGAGACAGATTGTCCACACACACATGTTTAGACTTGTGAGGAAAGCCAAGCATTTGTGCTAAGCTACAAGAAAAGCAATTTTTATTCCCCCGGAAAGAGAAAGTGATGTTAAGTTAAAAAGGATGCATGGCAGTGATATTTCTAGTTCAGTAAAAAATCTAAAAGTTAAAGAACAACTGTACTTCCTACTTGCTGCAGTCACGTCCATACATCTGGGAAAGCTATACTCTTGGCAGCCTCAAGCGGTCACTCAGAGCAAAGCTTTCCCATAGAAATGAATGGCTGTGAGCGGGACCGCTGGATGGGGTCCCAAGGTAAGTATAAAACCTAGTGGGCAGCAAAAAAAAAGTATATAGAGTTTAACTTTTAAGAGTGACTGTATGCTAAATTCACTGGAATATTCCGATACCGCTGAATGTCAACGCATGCACTCTTCTCATGTGTATTTTTTGAATTGTGAGTGCCTTTTAAATATAAATATCTGTTTAATAGTATATTTTAATGGTGCCTTCTGGAGCTAGAGAAAACTTAAAGTGAATCTGTGCTTTGTTCATGTGGGGCTAAGCAACAGGTTCCATTAACTGTTGCCCCCTCCGCCCCCCCCTCCCCCATTAGCACATAGTCACCTTCCCTTTGTTCCCCTATATCTCGGGTTAAGCATCAGAGAAGCAATACCCAGTAGCTCAAAGTATTTGTGAGCATTTGACTTCCCATACCCTCCCACAATACATCACTGGTCCTTGGTGATTGGTTGCTCACCTGGGGTCGGGGACAGTATACTCAGCCCTGCATAAGTTCCAGTGGTAGTTACAGAAGCAGATCTACTTGATGTTATTAGTAGTACACTGGTAAATATTCTTTTCTTTGCTTCCAGCAGGTAATTGGGGAAATTGGGGAGTATGAGAAACATGAGTATGTGCAGCTTGGGAGGGCAGCAGTTAAAGGGTTATTAAACCCTCCGTTTTTTTGCAAATATTTTGCAAATATCTACCAGCAAGCAGTAGATATATGCAAAAAGTGTTTAAAAAAATGCTTTGAAAAGGGTTAATGCTTACCTGTGTCTCCCGCGCGCGCTCCCGTCCGAAAATGTGAAACTTCTCGGGCGGCCGCAAAGCATCTTGGGGTGGCAGGCGCATGCGCAGTTCACATTTTCGGCCGGGACGCGAGGAGAGACACAAGGTAAGTCTATGAACGCGTGCACCCGCATGCAGACACCATGGGACAGGAAGTGCCAGCAAGCTCAGAGGAGTCAGCGCTGGATCGGAGACCCGCCGCAGCGCTGGAAGATCGGATTAAGAAACATTATTTAAGGTAAGTGCTTTAATTAACATTGAGGGGAGAGAAAAAGATTTTTGACTTTAATGTCACTTTAAGTGAACCAGTTTGCTTTGCCCTGCATTGGAAAAGCAAAGGCTGGCTATAGATTAGTGTTGAGTACACAGCTGTTTATTGTCTTATTGCCTTTATTGTCTCACCAGTTGAGAACCCCGGTTCTATAAGGTGCTGACACAAAGTGAAGGAAATGTTTAATAAATACAAACCCCAGAGCTATTTAATAAATGTAATTCAGTTCCGTCCTATATTTTCTCTGATAAATGATAATGTCCAGTGGCTTTGTAGTAGTAAGAAAGTTCACTTTTGTGTAATACCTACTGTATAACTCTGTGACTGTAAAAGATCCTTTGGAGCATGAAGACCTAAGATTCAGGTTTGAGAGCAGGCCTCACAGTCCTTGGCTTATCACAGATGGACGTGGCTAGACTTTGGGTTAAAAGCAGCCCTGCCATTTAACAGACTTCCACAAATTTGTGAAGATGCCATAATTGTACCAAGCCTAATGAAGTGGTAGTGCTTATTTTCTAGCACCACTGCCAATTCAACAAGAATCAATGTGAAGCTAAGGGTAACCCTCATTGTAGTGGTGGTATCTGAAATGTGTATCTATTGTAATGTTCCTGTGCTTGTCATCAAGACATGGGAGGGAAGCTGCTGCATCATTGTACATTTAGCATGAAACGGGAACAAATTAGCTGAATGTAAAACCCACATTCACTAGAAAATACTACTTTTTACTTGTCCTGATAACCTCTGAAAAAAATGCCAGTATGATGGGTTACTAAGGACGTATACTGTTTGTGACAATACTACCTTTCAGCCTTCTGGCTCTGGCTCTTCTCATTCAGGTCAATATAGAGCTGGACTTTCCCCTCCAGACAGCAGCCTCTAGTGGTGACCACCTTGTTAACAGCAAAGGTGGATGCCAACACAGAGCCGGGCTATACCGCAGGAAACTGGATTTATCTTTAGTATGGGTATTATATTGGGATTTTTCATAGGTTGCATGGACAAGTACAAATATATAATATTTAGTGAAAGGGCAAATATACTTTAAGCTAAACTGTGAACCACGAAGTCACAATAGAATGTAACATTCACTTGTGACCTTTTGCAGTAACACCTATTGTTAACAATTGATTTCAGGAAGTGTAAGCGTATGGCAATATCACTTTTATCTAGCTGCTATTCTAGCACTAGTAAACTGCTATTAGTTACAGAGGGTTTGTGGGATGATAGGACTACAGGGGTGCATGTTTGGTAGATAGAGAAGTCAGTCAGTGGTGCTATTTCTGTTTTTCCAAAGCAACTTGTGTTCATAGGGTAGGAAAAGCTGGGGACTAGAAGGGCAGCAATGTTTGGCGTAGTATGCATTCTGATATTTCGCCACCTACATTACAATCTGACTGTACAGTCTCGTTTAGATTTACCAACAACTGCGTAGTGCAAGGACGTGTTTGACTGCATACAAATTGATTCCGTAGTTTAGAGTCCTTTTATGTCATAGTTTTGGTAAAGTTGATTATACAAAGCCTGTAATGACTATGGTGACCTGATAGTGACTTTCTAGTTTTGTGGTGGAAATCCTCTTTAGAATTATATAAATATATAAATCACTTGTGTCTGAACCTTTAGATAACAGAACTTATCACTTTCAAGCTGAGGATGAATCTGAGGCATTTGTGTAAGTATTAAATGATAGTCTTTACTTTTCTTCTGCTTCTTCTGCTTTTATTTCAGGCATGGCTGTTCCAATTATTACATTTTTTCCCAAATTCTTCTTTAATTTGTGAAGGTGGATATCTGTACTGCAGAATAGTAAAGATGAGTCACTGAATGCAGCCTTTGGTGGGGATGGAAACTTGAGTGACAGCTCCCATCAACTAACAAAGCAGATCATTAATGAGATCAGGTCCTTACCTGGGAACCAAGTGTGCTGTGACTGCGGAGCCCCTGGTAAGCTATATTAACCACTTTACCTCTCATACCTTTATACTCTTTATGGACCAGAGCAGTTTTTACATTTCCACTGTGAGCCTATTTTGTGACAGTAGCTATGTCATTACTTACGATAACAAAGTAACATTTACCGTGCATTGTTTTTTGTGGGGTCGAAGTAGACTTTCATTTAGCAATATTGTTGTGTAAAAATAATTTATGTAATATATATACAATTCCCACTTTGACCAGTGTTAGTTTTTAAATAAATAGTGACTCTGTAAATAAAAAGTATACATTTTATTCTATATTTTGTTTAATTGAAATTGACACCAACATGATGTTTCTGCTATGGTTTATTTTTATGTGACACTGAAAACAAAAGAAATGGAAACAAAAAAAGCATTATTGGTAAAAAAAAAAAGAAATCAGCAGAGGAGAAGTAATAGCTAAGGAAGAAGGGGGGTGTTTACGTTAATTAGTACTTCTTAGAGATACATAAGGGATTAAATATGAATACATTACTTACATTTACTTTTTTTTTTATTGTAAGGTTTCTTTAACTGATGTAATATGCAGAGCAAAGAACAGGTCTGTGATCTACATATGAATAAAATAGTAAATACAATGTAGCAATTCATTTTTACACTGTAATACTCAGTGACACTTGCAGACTACCTGCAAATGCCATTTTGCACAGGAGTGGCTGCATTTTGACAGCTACTACTGCTATATAATACATATCATTTTGAAAGCCAGTAATTGCAGATAATAGTAGTGGCAGGGGAAGGAGCAGGGCATAGGAGGTACGCCTAAGAAACTTTGTTGTAGTGTTTTAGGCCATATCTCCCACACCTTATATCAACCACATAGGCTTCTGCGTGGTTAATATATGCCTTCCTTTATTTTCTCTATTTTCTTTCTCTGACACTCCCTCATGTCTTTGTTATATTGTGTTATTGCTCACAGATTATTCTCCCATCTTATACTTTAAATTGTTACCCATCTTGCTTATGTGCTGGAATGTGTGTATCTGTTTTTTTCTTATAACAGATCCCTCCTGGGTTTCTACAAACCTAGGTGTTGTCATCTGCATCGAGTGTTCTGGGATTCATCGTGATCTAGGGGTGCGCCACTCACGAGTCCAGTCTTTAACTCTGGATTTGCTGAGCACATGTGAATTGTTGGTAGGTGCTCAGCTGTTCATATATAAGCCCATCTAATTTTATATATGAAATTCTCACTCTCATACCTTTTACATTTTCCTGTGTTTAAAGCTTGCCGTTTCAGTTGGGAATGCCAAACTGAATGAAGTTTTTGAAGCTGTACTTCCTACTCCAAATCCAAAGCCTACACCCAGCAGCGATATGTAAGTCTTTGTGTGGATGACTCTGGTATGGATTGTGAAATATGGTGTCAGTGCGCCAGATTTTTGGTACGTGGGACACTTTTTTTCGGATGTGCCAAATAATAGCTCAGTTTGAAAGGAAAGATACGACTAGTGCATCAATTGTAAAAAAAATCCGAAGTGTGACTTTCCACACAAAAAGTCTCACAATCTGCACCAATCACATAATGCTTAAGAAAATTAGTGTCAATATTTTGCAAAATAGAGGTGTGCAGTAGTGTGCCAAGAGGAAGATGGCGCAAGGCAATTACACATTCTACTATGCGCCAAAAAAACTATATGTGCTACAACATAATAGTTTCTTTGCCATGTGATGTGGCAAAATAAGATGTCCTGTGTGACAATTTGAATTGCTCAACAACTGCTACTCTTAGTTTATCTGGCTATATGTTTTTAGAAATGCAATGGTACCTGAAGTCCCTGGAACTTTTTTGGGAGCAGATAAATCTTGTTCCATATGTAATGTTATAGTTAATTAGTAATGGCACGTTAAAGCCAGATTCTAGACAAAATGTTTTTTATTTTAACCTTGAACTAATCTTTATTGCTATCTGTATCTCCATTGGTGAAAGTCCCAGTGACACTGCATTTCTTATCTTAATGTAACAGGGTCCTAAGTGATTTGCAGATAGCGATAAAAACTTGTTAGTTTTTTCCCTTTCCGCACCACAGAGCTAAACTAAAAAATAAACAAAAAAAACGATGGATTCCCTCATCTGCTTTAAAGGAGAACTATGAGATGAGTGATTTCCACTCACCTCATAGTTCTAGCCGACTTGTGACGATGAGACTGTCACAGGGCGGCTCAGTAGATCGGGAGGTGAGCGAACAGATACCGGCGTTCGCTCACCCCTCGATCCTGGCACGGCTCTCTGCCGTGACAGGGGAGGGGCTGGATTCCCCCCTCCCCGCTCCGATCCGCCAGCACTGACTTGCGGAACGGACGGGGGAGGGGGCGGGTACAGCTGGCTCTGCCTCTAGATAGGCAGAGCCAGCTGTCACTCACGCAGCTGGGCGGATCTCGACATAGATGTCGGCATCCGCTCCGGCTGTGGTGTCTCAGTATACCGCGAGCTGTAACTTGCGGTATACTGAGCTTAGGGTAACGGGAGGACGCTAGTTTGTGTCCTCCCGTTAACCTAAGGAGAACTATGGGGAAAAGCCCTGACCCCATAGTTCTCCTTTAACAGTGTGGATTGGGGAATCCTTCCCCCCCTCCACTGGTGTATTGTATTCTAAATACCAGAACACTGACTTCAGCTGATTGACTTCTGTCACTGTACGGCTCAGATTTTCTGGACTGGCTCCTTCAACAAAAGTTAATTGAAAAATTTATGTATGGCCATTTTTACTCTACTCTTTTCAGAAGCAAAAAAACTTTTGACTGAGGTTGGGTGTTAAACCAACCTGTAAATACCCACGCAGGGCAAAGAAACAGTTTGGCTTTAATACCTCCTTTCCCCAATCACATATACCTAACTTTTTAATAAACTCCTGTTGCTCTGTTCAAATATCAGGAGAAAAGAATATACCAATCCCATGGCTTCTTATATACTGTATATTGCATACCCCATAATATAATTCCTCATGCTGTTATTGCCCACCTGCGAGTATAGGGTGTTCCCATCAACCTTTGCATGTCCTAACACCTCCTGTGGCGTTCTCAATAATATTAAATACAAAAATCCACCTCATACACCAGGTGAGCAGACCTAGGAACTCAAGTGCAGATATCTCACCTCACCTCTAGAAACCTGAGAGATAGAAGAAATTGTTAATAGAAGAAATTGTCAGGTGGTTTACCTCACCAGCATCTACCAAAACTATAATATTAGTTTTAGGGGCACCGACCCTTTAATTTAATGGCTCTTGGGTGTGCATGATGTTAGTACGAATAACTTGACTGTGAATCCAGCACATAAAAACATGAATCTGTACTCTGCAATGGAAAATGTAACCATATTGCATTTGAATGAATGACATGTGCTACAGCCAGAGCATTTACAAAAAATTAGACATGCATATTTGCAGTGAATGTTTATGAACACTTGCAGTGTTGTTGTCAGCTTCAATGAGAACATTGTAATGGCTTGTTTATTTTCTAATGCAAATATTTGACACTAAAGCATGTTATATGCCCAGGAGACATGTATGGGATTTTTGGCTAATGTATGGGATATTTTTTGGCAAATGCAAATCATATTTGCATTTCTCTTGCAATAAACAGCTGGGTGATTATCAGTCAAAGGAAAGCAATTTATAGTGGTGCAAATCTGTACTGTAGGCAGGGCCAGATTTCCCACAAGGCCAACCAAGGCCCGGCCTTGGGGCAGCAGGGTGTAGAGGGGCAGCAGGGGTGTGGAATTCCTATCTTCCAATGCCCGGGACATGCAGCTCCAGGAGGGTAGTTTTCTACATTTAGTCCTGCTTTGGGCACACAGAGCTAAATGTACAGCAGGGAAGCCACCGCTTGTTTTGTAAAAGTTACATAGTTACATAGTTACATAGTATTTGAGGTTGAATAAAGACATATGTCCATCAAGTCCAACCCATTGTGTGTGTGTGTGGGTGTAAAGATCCTCGCGTCAAAAGTGATCCCAGCGATATCCCCGATATCACTTGTATGCAGCCTGCATGCAGGTCTGCCATTCTCCATGGGGGGGAGGAGAGGGGGGGTGTTTTTTGGCGGGTGCATTGAGGTATCTGGCCTTGGGGCAGCAGAGAGAGTAAATCCAGTCCTGACTGTAGGCAGATATCGTCCAGCATTCTGTCATACTAACATCATACATTTGTAAAAATACCATTCAGCTGAGTCACAGAAATAATCATTTCATTGTACGGGAATTGCATATTGGTTTGCCAGGAAAATTGCATGTTGAAAAATGATTAGAGTTTAAATAAATACTTGCTTCCTCTGTTGGTGCTGGATGATCATTTGGAGAAGCAGATATTTTGTCTTGTTTAACACCCACTGATCAGTGCCTTTACATGCTATACTTGCTGTCAGACCGATGGTGTCATTTATACAGGGATCACTGTGTCTTAATAGGAATGCCAGGAAGGATTATATCACTGCTAAGTATGTGGAGCATAGGTTTGTGAACAGACATAAGAGCAGCAGTCTTCATGGAATCAGAGATGCTCTTCAGAGGCATGACCTGATGGCACTACTGCAGTGCATGGCGAATGGGACAGATCTAAGCAAACCACTCAATCAGGTATTATCTCCTTGTACTATAAATTCACCCAACTCTCCCTCTGTAACGTGTGTCCTTCTCACACATGTTCTGCCTACTTCCCCTGCAGGATCTCTGCGAGACTCCACTTCACCTAGCTGTTTCTCTGTGTGAGAGGAACTGCCTCCCGCTGGTGGATTTCCTGATCCAGAATGGGTTCGTACATTTCCCTACACATGATTAATAGAGAATTGCCTAGAGCACAGCTACATATACTGTTGCACATATTGAGACTCGCTGTTTTACTGGATGGATAACTCTGCTTTCACAGGGGAGCCTTGGAAAAAGTAACAGCAGATGGACAGACAGCTCTGCACTATGGGGTCAGATATAACAAACCAGATTGTATACGACTTCTCCTGAGAGCCAAGGCATCTGTGAATACTGGTAACCACATGTCTCTCACTCCCACCTCATGCCTAGAAACATCACTTACCATTTCTGAGCACATAGAGAGCATCAAGCTTTCATTATAATCTAATGTATTTTTATTACTGTATAAAAAAACAAATTATTTTTATATTTAAAGGAAAAATGTACTGGAAGAAATGCAGGGGCTACCAGTGATAACCTCTTTTTAAAAATGCTAGTTGACCCTAATGTGTCTGGCCCTAATAGTGACCTGGAACTAGCATGCAGATTAGAAGGTCTAGCATGCAGATTAGAAGGTCATAGCAAAATCCTAATCTGCATACGTCTTACAGGTCTGGGCCTAATAAAGTATTGAAGCCGAAATCCATACAGATATAAAAGTTACAAATAAATGCAGCTCTGTATTCATTCATTATTACATAATTAAATGCATTTTTTTATGCAAACAGTGCTAGTACCTGAATCTTGGCTTGATATTAGCTTCTTTCTATCCTCTGTAGCAGATCCTGAGCACAGATTGGAAGAGGGAGACACAAAATTAGGAGCCAATCAGTTGTACAGCATTGTTTGTGTGCTAACAACGGGCAGGCCAATAGCAGGAAAGAGCAGCGTGACATAGAGATGAGCTCATCAGTCTGCTGCTTCCTCTTTCTTTGTCCTATCACGGGCTGGTAGAGGGGCAAGACCTGTATATGTTACTTAATTGCAGCAGAAGAAAATCAGGTCTCCTGCCCTGTCAGGCATTTTATCTTTAAATCTAGTGGATCCACCTAACAGCTAGGAAGCTGTACATTTAAGAAGGAGAAATCAGAACTATCAATCTCCATATTCCTTCGGTGGAGGTTTTGTAGAAAAAAAAACTTCACCTTCTAAGTAAACTATGCATTGCAAGGATTTTAGCAAAACTTGGCAGATTCATAATTGCTTTTTTGATTCAGTCTTTATTCAGTCTTTATTATACCCACATGTTTTTTTGACGAGAAAATCTAGACTGCCTGTATCCTCTTAAAAGTGAGTGAGCCTGAAGCTGAACATACACCAGTGAAATTTTCTTTGGGAAAAAAAATAGTTTTTGGAACGTTCATTTAGTTTTCTAATGAGATTAAATCAACAATTGTTTTCGAATGTAGCGAAGAAAAAAAATTGAAGAAGCAGGATGGAAAGTTTTTCTCCAATGTTTAAATTCTTACAGTGAATGTGGTTTTCAATCGAGAAACAACACTGATTCCAAAATCCAATGGTAAAATCAAAAGAAATTTCAGACACCATTCGGCAAGTCTCTGATGGAATTATCGAATGTTCATTCATATGAATGTTTGTACAGAAATCTACCAGTGTATACCCAGCTTAAATTAGTATGTTACCAAGAATGACACTCCTATTGCAGGAATGCAGATGTGTGGGAAAAGCCTTGAGCAAATCACACAAGCAGGGAATGAGATTTCTGGGGGAATTTTGTACACCAACATTGTAAATGATGAAAAGGAATCATTCAATTTTATATCTGTTTTAGAAAATTACATGCAGGGTGAAACAGAAGGAACATCTTTTTGGACCTATTCACACTTCAGTTATAATGCAGCATCAGTCAGTTATAATGCAGCAAAATGCATCTATTGCAAATGCATTTCAAATAGAACTGTGTTATTTATTTCTGTGTGGCTCATTCACATCTTTGCGCTGCAGCCAGAGGCGTAACCATTAAGGCCCCCCCCCCCAAAAAAAAACCATGATTTTGATACCTCTTTCCCCCCTTTTAAATAAACAGTATGCATGTTACAACTTTCAGGGATAGTTCACACCAGCTCCAGTGCGTTCCGGCCCGATTTGGTGCTGGAACACACTGGATTGCATCCCGGCCAGCTCACTGCGTTCTGGGGTGGGAGGGGCCGTGGCGGTGCATTCAAGTCAATGACCCCGCAGGCACGCCCCTCCCGGCCGCAGTGCGATCGCCTGCACTGGAACGCATGGCAAATTAATGCCTGCAAATGGAGTTCCCTGACTGGACACCCCCCCATTTTGCCTGTGCGCAGTATCGGGGGATTTTCACGAGTACTTGTGAAAATGCCCAGTATTGGCACTGGTGAATCCCTACTTAATAATATAATGTATTGCTGGGACTTGTAGTCCTGCATAGTTGGTGCTATTCTGCATTGCTGTATAACCATTATACAGCAATGCAGAATACCACCAGCTTTGCAGGACTACAAGTCCCAGAAATACATTATAATGTAAATAATAATAATAACAGCTTCTAGTAAAACGTTGAGTTTCCTTTAAATATGGAATTGCAACATCCGATGACAAGCAGTCTACCAGACCTTCTGTTAGTTCTTCTAACATTCATTCCACATATCAGCTATGTCTATTCTGGTTTACAATACGGCAGACTGTATCTCTTTATTCCTTGATATGAATGGGCAGAATGACAGATTTTCAAGATAAAACCATGAAATTAGTCTGTTCAGTTGGGAACAAATGTAAAGGGTTTCAAAGCTCATCTCTGTGAGTATGGTTGTCATTGAGGGTTTGACTATTGTTTGATTTTATAATGGATTGCCAAACTAATTAGCTGAGCGAGGACCCCTCAGAGATTTTGCTTTTATATTATCAAGTACCGACATTGCTGGTTCTTACTTTACAGTGGCATACATGATGATCAGCCTAGGATAACCTGATTTCTTCTGTCTTTTAACAGTGAATCATGCAGGATTAACACCTTTGATGCTAGCTCAGAACCTTAAGCATTTTGAATGTGAAGAACTGGTATGTAGTTTAAGAGATGATATAATATAGCTAAAGAGATATTTAAGATATTTTAGTTATGAGTGAATAATAGTGAGTTGAATCAGCCACAAACGTCTTTGATCTCTCAGGCATTCCATTGATTACCCCGACCAATCCCTTATTGTCACCCTCAATGCTGCATTTGTCAAATTATATTGTATATTCTGGACTATGGTGGGTTCATTGGGAAAGCCTGACACCCTTATTAGGCTTTGTAATCACATTGGCAGAACTGGAAATCCCCAAGAGATAAAAGGCATGGAGATATGATTCAGCTCACAGCAATGATGCAGAAGTGAAAAGATCTTTATAGTTGGAGTTTTCCTTTAATATTACCCCAGAAGAAGGCAATTTTATAATATATTTCTTTAATTGGTCACAGCTGGAAAAGGCTGGAGAAGGGAATTTTAATGCTGAACTGGATTTTGATTGGTTCCATCAAGAGGAGGAAATAAGCTATAGCGATGAAGACGAAGCAGAAAAGGTGAGCGATATTTGCAGGCAGTCCCCAGTTTTTTTCTACTGTTTTTGTTAGTCCTGTTAGTGATTGTTTGCTGTGTTGCCCACCGTTCAGTTGGACTGCTTTTAGACATCCCAAAGGTGAAAGACTTCCTGTGTCCTGAATAAACAAGGTACACAGACACAGGTCCTGACCTTCTGTGCTTTGATCATGCTCTGAGTACTGCTTTGCAAAACTGAGGTATGCTGGTAGTAGGAGAGGTTTTCTTGGGCTGGCCTACCTTTTGTATTGCTTGCCAGTGTCCAAGCATCCTGTAGGAAGCAGTATAACCCAAGGGGGAAAGGCTTTCTGTGTCCCTTCATGGACTACAAGAAAAACATTTTATGGTGAGTACAAAAATCCTATTACACCAACATGATTCATTTAACAATATCAGAAAAAAATATCACCTAAAACAAATACACTATATTGCCAAAAGTATTGGGACACCCCTCCAAATCATTGGATTCAGGTGTTCCAATCACATCCATGGCCACAGGTGTATAAAAACAAGCACCTAGGCATGCAGACTGCTTCTACAAACATTTGTGAAAGAATGGGTCGCATGCTGAAGCCCACAGTGCGATGAAGTCGCCAAGTGTCTGCAGAATCAATAGCTACAGACCTCCAAACTTCATGAAGCCTTCAGATTGGCACAACAACAGTGTGTAGAGAGCTTCATGGAATTTGTTTCCATGGCCGAGCAGCTGCATCAAAGCCTTATATCACCAAGTGCAATGAAAAGCATCGGATGCAGTGGTGTAAAGCACGCCGCCAGTGGACTCTAGAGAAGTTGAGACTGTTCTCTGGAGTGACGACTCATGCTTCTCTGTCTTGCAATCCAAATTACATGTCTGGCTTTGGCGTTTGCCAGGAGAACGGTACTTGCCTGACTACATTGTGACAAGTGTAAAGTTTGGTGGAGGGGGGATTATTGTGTGGGGTTGTTTTTCAGGGGTTGGGCTTGGCCCCTTAGTTCCAGTGAAGGGAACTCTTAAGATATCAGCATACCAAGACATTTTGGACAATTTTATGCTCGCAACTTTTTGGGAACAGTTTGGGTATGGCCCCTTCCTGTTCCAACATGACTTGCGCACCAGTGCACAAAGCAAGGTCCATAAAGACATGGATGAGTGAGTTTGGGGTGGATGAACTTGACTGGCCTGCACAGAGTCCTGACCTCAACCCGATAGAACACCTTGGGGATGAATTAGAGTGGAGACTGCGAGCCAGTCCTTCTCGTCCAACATCAGTACCTGACCTTACAAATGCGGTTCTGGAAGAATGGTCAAACATTCCCATAAACACATTCCTATACCTTGTGGACGCCTTCCCAGAAGAGTTGAAGCTGTTATAGCTGCAAAGGGTGGGCCAACTCAATACTAAACCCTACGGACTAAGACTGGGATGCCATTAAAGTTCATGTGCGTGTAAAGGCAGGCGTCCCAATACTTTTGGCAATATAGTGTATTTAAGTGTATTCACACAAGGATGGTGATCCACAATACCTATAGCCTCCTGAGTAAAATAAATACAAATGTGCACACCCACCATAAACAACATTTTTTAAAATGTAATTTTTTGGACTATTTAAAAAATGTATTTTATATAACAAAAGTGACTCATTCCATTCTTCTTGTTATCCCATCTAACAGTACCTCTGCATACAGGCTGTTTATTCTCTGCATTATTCTGTCTCTAGTGTCACTGTTATGTAGCAATCCATAGATAGCAGCTGTGAAAACTATGTGTACTAAATTATTTTACCTCCTTCCTTTTACTTTTACTTCCCTCATTCCGCCCTTTCCTGGCATTATTTTTTTTCTATTGGTTAACCTCAGCCAATAGAAAAAGAACAGTCATTTTGGCCAGCCGGGAAAGGAGGGATGATGTCATTGTATCTAGGGCAAACTAAACACAGACAGACTTTTGAAGATAGAGTCAATTGTTTTCACAGCTGTGACATGAGGGAAGGTACAATAATGGGCGCACAACACCCTTAGCGGGTACTGTTAGATGGAATAGCAGGAGGAATGCCAGGAATCACTTTATTTGTTCATGTCTGACAATCAAGTTTAAAGATCTAGAAGTCTTGCATTTATGACGTTCCTGGCATGCTGTTTACATCCTTTCACTTGTATCTTTTCCACTTTCAGCTGAGCCCATTATCCCAGAATCCTTTGTTGCAATCTTCGATTAGACCTTATTCCAGGCAGAGCTCACTGGGACTGGACATCAGTAACAGGACTTATGAGACTTTTGTTATGCCTGCAAGAGCTCCACCAAATCAGAGATCGCATAGTATGGAGAATCCTCCACCTTTACCTGCTAAGAGCCACAGCCGAAGTAAGGAGTGCTCACTATAGTGCTTTACTATATTTCATGTTTTAACAGCTCATAATGGGCTGATTAATTTAAGATAATTCCTGATTACATTGGTTTATTTAGACCTGACCAACACTTTTGTCTTATTTAATCTCAACTCCAGTCAACACCAGAATAAGCTGTGGTCTGCTAGATTCCTGAGGATTTTGGAAATTTTGCATTTTAATAACAAATATACCGTAGCTCTTAATACCTACATTTCTGTTTAATGGTGGCTCTCCTGTTTTAATAAAGTACTGTTTAGGAGGGCTTTCATGGCCATGGTGCTACCACATAACAGTGATGTAGGTGCTGTGCAGGGAACTGCATTTCCCAGTGTGTAGAGTTTGTAAGTAAGTCCTCTAGGCTTACTTACAAAGGAAGTGGCAGGGTAGAGCTGTCATTTACATGGCAAGGGGCAGACCGGGCAGACTGTATGCCCATAAAGTGGGGCCCACTGACCAGTCTGCTAGTACAAAGAAGACTCAGGGGTGATGGATGATGGAACAGCCTGCAGCACAGGAAATCAGTTGAAAGCAAAACCGCGTTGCAGCAAATGGTACAAAATATGGAACTTTTGCACATTTTGAATATAAATCACTCTCATAATGTGAAAAGTAAAGGCTATTACTCTATTATTATGTTATTGATATGCCCGGCGTTCAGCTTAAACTAAAAGCTGTGTTTGTTTTGATGTGCCTAAGCACAAGCATGAACCTAACTTTTGTTAGTCAGAATTCCTGCTCCTAAAATAGCCCGCATGCACTTCATTGGTGGAACATTCTTTTAAACAAGCTATAACTTGTTTGAAACTAAGGGTTATCTTCAGGAGACTGAGCCTCATTGTAATGTTGCAACATATATGCACTAATGCTTTTAATATGAGGATTCGTGGAAATGTCCATATATATACAGTATATATGTACTAGATGTACTTATGCACAACTAACAAGCTTATTTCTCATTCTGTTTAGAAGGCCATGAATTGTCTTCCCCTCTAACTGGCAGTTTGGAGAGACCACTCAGCACTTCCTCTTACTCCCCAACTAGAGAGGACTGGGAGGGAGTTTCTGATGCAGGACTACAGAGACGAGCATCTGAACCTACTCGCTATAATGCTGAAAATAGTCATAGTCATGGACAATTTAGGTGAGAATGGCATTCATCAGGCTTCTCTTATAATGTAATACAGTAAACCTAAAACTAGTATACAAGTACCAAACTAGCACAAAGCTATGAGATAAAAAATGCCTACTTGTACTTTCAGCAGCCAGAAAACAGTTCTGTGTGCTCAGGGAAGCCCTGAACATGGGCCCATGTTGCTGACTACCACAAATGGATTCTGCTGATTTGACTCACCTCCTAGTGTCTTGTTTGTCTGTGGAAGAAGATAGGTCACCAGCACTCAAAAATAATTCAAAATGAATAAGTCCTTTTTATTGGACAATTGTGTCACGACAATCAAAAAGGCTCTTTTTGATTGTCGTGACACAATTGTCCAATAAAAAGGACTTATTCATTTTGAATTATTTTTGAGTGCTGGTGACCTATCTTCTTCTACTTTGTCTTTTGCACGGTGCCATCCGTGGTAGTTACTACAAGCACCATCTTTGTTTATTGGCCGGGACTGCTGAAAGGTGTGCGGAGAGCACCCCCACCAACTGCAACTTGTTTATCTGTGAGTCTCCAGTGGCAAGACCTCCTGAGTAGAATTCTTGGATTTGTTTGGCTGCAATTCTCAATCCCTCTGTGCATTCTGTATAGCTTAAAATAAACAGAAACTTGTAGCTCACGATATTCCCATTATGGCATGGCAGATGGGTGGAACTAGGAACTCAGATGCAGAGACCTTACAGAGAGAAAATTCCAAGTGATCAATTAGAGCTGTGCCTTCAGTCTTGTAAAGTTACACAGGCTCCTTTCCTGTACTGAAATTGCTTGCTCTATTTTCACGAGGGCCTACCTAATTTCCTGGTTGGAGAATGTCCTAGCTGTCCCTGGCCCACCCCTTTCATATGTTGGATATCAATTTAACACCATGTGGGCATTACCCAGGGTGGTCTGCATGCAAATGCAGTCTGTTTAAGAATGCACACTTCTGCAGTCTGACAACCACCCATCAAAACATTTGCACATTTGCAAAGCTCCTCCCAAGAGTCCGCTAACTGCTTGCATCAGTACTGAGGGCTACTGAGAGGAGTACAGAGACGTGGTGCTATGATGTTCTCAAGCAGCACAGTACAGTACAGCACCCTGCTGCCCCCCCCCCGCCCACCAGCCATGATCTGCCTTTATTATATAAAGTAGCACTGAGACCCTCTGATCAGGTCGCTGGGTCTAAAAAAAGGTATGTAATGAGAATAAGAAGGTTTGATTTAAAATATCATTATCAATGTTGATGAAGAGGGAAGAGAGGAACCAGCAAAGGCAAAATAAAGATAGATTAAACTTCAGCTTTAAACTAATACCAGTGTCTACATATTGCAGCACGGATGGAGTGAAGTCCTACAGGAGGGTGAGATGCTCCCAAAATATGGAAAGTCCAGCACAAGGTAGGCCTCCACTGCTTTGGTCAACATTGACACCCAGTGCCTTGGAGAATGTTATAAGTGTGAAGGAAGAGCAGGAAAGGGGGTTGTTAAAGGAAGTATAGTTTCCAGGGAGAGGTATCCAAACACTGGACCTAAGAAAAGTTAAGGTGTTGCCTAGAGCAGCCAGGCAGATTCCATCTTTCAGTTTTACAAATCAGAATTTACAAATGGATGGAGGACTATAAGCAACAGCCTATTGTTTTTGTTCAATGAACAGCATTGTGTACAAGAGTGATTTAAAATGTTAGAACCATTTAGAACAGATAATTAATTCAGGTAGAAAGACTCTTTTAAACATAATAGGAGAATATAACATTATAGTAACAGTTTTCTTTTTTTAAATGCTACATGTTTTGTTGGGTCTTGTGATTTCAGGTGGAATTTCCAGAGGGAGATTTAATCGTGATGATAATCAGCAGCCTTCTGCATCTCCACAGTGATAACATGGGACTGTCTACTGTCTAGAGAACAGTATACATCATTATTGGTTGAATATTTCCACCATCATTTATTTATATAGTGCCTCCACAGGGCACAGTTTGCCGCAAAGAAAAATAAGGGTTTGCTTCCAGACATTTCTGCAAGTTTCACATCTATTTTAAATAGTATATGTTTCATAGTCTGTACAGATAGCTGTAATGCTGTCTCTATATTTTCTATACACCAATAAGCCATAACATTATGATCACCCGTCTAATATTGAGTAGGTCCCCCCTGTTGCTGTCAAAACAGTCCTGACCCATCGAAGCATAGACTCCACTAGACCTCTGTGGTATCGAGCACCAAACCGTCAGTAGCAGAACCTTTAAGTCCTGTAAGTTGCGAGGGAGGCCTCCAGGGATCGGACTTGTTTTTCCAGCACATCCCACAGATGCTCGATTGGACTGCGAGCTGGAGAATTTAGAGGCCAAGTCAACACCTCAAACTCGTTGTTGCATTCATCAACCCATTCTTGAACCATTTTTGCAGTGTGGCTGGGCACATTATCCTGCTGAAATAGGCCACTGTCATCAAAGAATAACTTTTCCATGACGGGGTGTACTTGGTCAACAACAATGTTTAGGTAGGTGGTATGTGTCAAAGTAACATTCTCCTGAATGGCAGAACCCAAAGTTTACCAGCAGAACATTGTCCAAAGCATCACACTTGCCATCTTCCCATAGTGCATCTTGGTGCCATCTTTTCCCCATGTAGGCAACGCACACGTACCCAGCCATCCACATGTAAATGAAAACGTGATTTATCAGACCAGGCCACCTTCTTCCATTGCTTTGTGGCCCAGTTTTGATGCTCACTTGCCCATTGTAGACGCTTTTGGGGTGGACATGGGTCAGCATGGGCTCCTGAGTTGTCTGTGGCTATGCAGCCCCTACTTAACATACTGCGATGCACTGTGTGTTCAGACACCTTTCAATCGGAACTAGCATGAACGTTTTCAGCAATTTGAGCTACAGTAGCTCTTATATTGAATCAAATTACAGCCTACACTCCCCACGTGCATCATGGAGCCTTGGACACCCATAATCCTGTTGCCAGTTCACCAGTTTTCCTTCCTTGGACCACTTTTGGTAGGTCCTGTCCACTGCAGGAACACCCTACAAGAGCTGCAGTTTTGGAGTTATTATTATTATGCAGGATTTATATAGCTTTACAATATAGGGAAGACATTATAATTACAATACAACTCAAGACAAGATGGTAAGGAGGGCCCTGCCTGTGAGGGCTTACAATCTAAGAAGAAGGGGAAAGTGATATATGAGGAGGTGGCTGTGTGGGGATGAATTGTTGGTTAGTGGTTAGTTGCTCTAACCCAGTCATCTAGCCATCACAATTTGGCCCTTTTTAAATTCTCCCAAATCCTTACACTTGCCCCTTTTTTGAGCTTTCAACACATCAACTTCAGGGACAAAATGTTCACCTGCTGCCTAATATATCCCACCCAATGTTATGTTATTCACTTCACCTCTCAGTGGTCATAATGTCATGGCTGATGGGTGCATAGTCATGCTGGTTTCCATTTTTATTCCAGTTTTTATGTCTTTCATTGATGTCAAGCAAGCATATTTGTATCCTATAGCTGAAACTGTTAAAGTGATGAATAACCTTGTAAACATTTTCAAAATACTTTCCTGCACACATCACATTGAAATATTTGTACCGGATGCAGTTTGCTTTTATTTTTCTGTACTGTGAGCACATTATAAAGCGTTTTCCCTTAAGCTGGCCAACACTGTGCAATTTTGGACGGTTCTTCGATAAATTTGCCCAGTGGGGGGCCCTGTTGGCAGCCTTCCATCCAACATCCTTCAATCAGAAAATCAAAGTAGGCGGGCGAAAAATTACCAGCCGTACAGCTGCAGTCACTGTTGGGTAATTCAGACAGGGGCACTCCTGCCGCTATCAGAATACAGTAGCCCAGCAGGAGATTCATCCACCCATTTTTGCCTGAACAGTGTATGGCCAGCTTTATTCTGTGTCTTCCATCCCTTATATAACTTTGTGCATCCATAATCCTGTTATGCTCCACCCTTGATAGTGTTATTAATATCCTTGGCAATTTGGCAACAGTTTGTCCTGCTGTACTATGACGATTATTATTATCGTTGACGGCAACGTGTAGGGTGGAAATAAGTTATTAGCAGTTAAACATTTTGACAGAATTCCTGCAACAGCAATATTTGTGTACATATATCCCTTAATATGTATGTCTTAAAAATACATGGGTAAATTAAAAAATGGTCTTATTTTCCTATAATTCTGATTTTTTTTGAATTTCAAGTAGATATAAAAGTGTCTTTTATTTGTAGCTCTAGACGTTGCATGGCAGAGTATTGCTGATTAAAGAGGATCTGTCATTAAAATAATTATATATGTATATAATTATAATTCATGGGGGGAATTTATTAAAACTGGAGAAGACAGAATCTCGAGCAGTTGCCCATGGTAACAAATCAGCTTCTCTCTTCAGTTTGTTGAGGTAAGCTTTGAAAATGAAAGAGAGAAGCTGATTGGTTGCCATGCACAACTGCTGCAGTTTTGATAAATTCCCCTCAATGTGTATGTCAGCAAAAACTCATTGCCCTTAATGAACAAAAACAATGAGATAAGAAGAGCAGCAAGGCACAATCATAATGACTGCCCCATGTACATACAGAATTACAAACTGCGCATAGAAACAACAATTTTAAAACATTAATACATTATCTTGGGGAAGCTGATCTCTTTTATATGTGCACAATAGTTGAAAAGAGCAATCCATTTTGGAAGCTATTGCCAACAATTTTATACAGTATAGCATCTTAAAGAGGACTTAGCTTCTCATGTCCATTTGAAGTTAAGTGCATGCATGCTAAGTAATACCGTGTTTCCCCGAAAATAAGACACTGTCTTATATTTTTTTTGGCTCAAAAAAACACGCTAGGTCTTATTTTCAGGTAGGTCTTATTTTTTTTTTATGTACAACAATCCACACTTATTCATGTACAAAAATATGATGATCAGGGCAATCAGGGTTGCCGTACCTTTCCAAGAGAAATTTGCTAACCAAATCGCTGGCCAGAATGAGTGAAGCGCACTTTCACTATCGATTCCTCACAGGCGGGGTGCATTTGGTATCACTCCGCCTGTGACAGGAGCCGGCGCTATAGAGGAGGCATCGGCTTATGCGGCTCTGCTCCCTCTAGTGCCGCCTCGCTTTCTCTAGCGCTGGCTTAGTTGGCATCGCTGATTCTCTCCTGCGGCTCTTCAAGTTCCCCCTTATGCCACCACCGGCCCTGGGAATGGTCACAACTAGGTCTTATTTTCAGGGTAGGTCTTATATTTTAGCAATTCCCAAAAATAGTACTAGGTCTTATTTTCGGGGTAGGTCTTATTTTCGGGGAAACAGGGTATCTAGGTGCAACACTTACAGGTATCTAGTATTTCACAGAAATCACAGTACTCTCACTGACAGTGTATTTCTCTGCTTTTATGTCCAGAAGGCCAGCATCATTTTTGTTCAGACCTAATCCAGGCTTGACATCTACTTTCATGTGCATCCTGGTGCCAGTGCAGTTCTTGGCAGTGCAGTTCTTGCCCAGCCCCCTCCTACAGCCTCCTTGTGAGTTGCTACAAAGAAATGCGGTAAAAGGAGACTAAGGACATGCTTCCTCCTGCCCACAGCAGACTGATGAAATCATCTCAGCCCTAGTAAATGCTTCCTCCTGTCTGCAGCAGACTAATGGCATCATCCCAGCCTGAGGAAATGCTTCCTCTTGCCTGCAGCAGACTAATGACATCATCTCAGCCTGAGGAAAAGCTCCCTCATGTATGCAGCAGACGGATAACCTCATCTCGGCCTGAGGAAATGATTCCTCCTGCCTGCAGCAGACTATTGACGTAATCTCAGTCCTAGGAAATGCTTTCTCCTGCTTGCAGCAAACTGATGACATCATCTCAGCCTAGGACTTTTCTGTTGCTGTATGCTATGGCATGATAGGAGTGTATTGATGCAGACTTGTATAACAGTAACAGCTAATAATAATAGTCATAACATTTCGAGAGGACCCTGTAACAAACCTGTATGTTGCCATCTTAAATCCTAACAGCAGGAAGAGCAGTGTAGAGAGTGCAGTACCTAATAGCAACCTTTCAGCAATTAGTTTTTCTGGGCTTGAGAACTGGCAAACTGAAATCTGATGAGTTGTCATGGGTTTTGGCTTGTGATATTGGCAAGTTGTCTAAATGATTTAATGTAGTTAGAAGACAAGCAGAGCTCCAAACTAATTGCAGAAAACATCAAAAAATAAAGTGTCAGTGACAGAGTTACATATGTTCAATATTTTCCCTTATACTTTTTTTCGAACTGTGTAGGCGTATTTTCCAATTATCTCATATGTAATGTGTTTGTCAGCTTATGGCACAGTTTTCTTAGCTTTGTATGTGAAAAGCTTTCTTCACATTAGCAGTGAAGTCCAATGTGTTAGCCATATCCTGACACATGGAATGTACCTGATGAATTATTACAAGGCTGATTCCCTGCTAGTTTTTTTTTTTTTCCTTTTGAATTTCTTATCAGGCTTTTAGGCTGTATCACTTTCTAGCCATCCTATTGGGTAGATGTCCCCAGGAATGTCAAAGAAAGCAGTCTTTCTTTACTAGGGTATCTGGTTCACTCTAATGTCCACTGACTCTGGATAGCTACAAAGTGTCCTATTATAAAATATCCACCTATTGTTGGTCACCTTAAACCTTTTGGGTTTTTTTTTACTTAGAATCACTTAAAGTGCAACTAAAGCTCAAACTTTATTTTTTCATTTTGGATAGAGTGGTGAATGATTAGACCCCCACCCCCCCCCCCACACATCTCATTGTTCTTTTTCTTTGGCTC